GTTCAGGGCACATGCCCTATGGGGGGCATGCAGAAGGCAGCCAATCAGTGTTCTCTTTCATCAATGTTTCTATCTCTCTCTCCCTTCCTGACTCTCTAAAATCAGTAAAGAAAAAAAATTGTAAATAACAAAAAAATACAAGGTCAAACTATATGCTGCCTACAAGAGACTCACTTTAGCTTTAAAGACACACACAGGCAGAAACTGAAGGGGTAGAAAAAGATATTTCATGCAAATGGTAGCCAAAAGAGAACAGGGATAGCTATACTTATATCAGAGGACTTGAAGTCAAAAATAGTCACCAGAGACAAAGAAGGTCATTATATAATGATAAGGGATCAAGTCATCTAGAAGATATAACATCTGTAACTATATAGGCACCCAACATCAGAGCACCTATAGATATATAAAGCAAATATGAACAGAACTAAGAAAGAAATAGCAACACAGCAATAGGAAGGGACTTAAATACCCCCTTTCAACAATGAATATATCATCCAGACAGAAAATCAATTAAAAAAAAAAAACAGCAAACTTGAACAGCAGCACTATATATCAAATCAACCTAACAAACACAAAAAATTGCATCCAAAAGTAGCCAAATACACATTCCTCTCAAGCACACAAGGAACATTCTCCAGTATGGATCATGTATTAGCTCACAAAACAAGTCTTACCAGTTTAAAACTGAAATCATATCAAGTTAATATTTTCCAATCATGATACATTAAAACTAGAAATCAATAATAGGAAGAAAACAGGAAAATTCACAAATGTGTGGAAATTAAACAACATACTCCTAAAAAACCAATGGGTCAAAGAAGAAGTCAAAGGAAAACCATAAAACATCTTGAGACAAATGAAGGTGAAACCACAACATATTAAAACTTATGGGAAGCAGTAAAAGCAGTTCTAAGAGAAAAGTTTATAGTAATAAACTTCTATATGAAAAAAAAGAATAATCTCAAATAAATACCTCAAGAAACTAGGAAGCACAGAACCCAAATTTAGCAAAAGGAAGGAAACAATAAAAAATATCAACAAAACTAAGAGTAGGTGTTTTGAAAAAATTGACAAATCCATATCTAGACTAAGAAAAAAGAGAGGTTTCAAATAAATAAAATCAGAAATGAAAGAGGACACGTTACAACTGATAACACAGAAATGCAGAGAATCACAAGAAACTACTATAAATAATTACATACCAACAAATTGGATAATCTAGAAAAAGTGAATTACCAGAAACATATAACCTACCAAGACTGAATCATAAAGAAATAAAAAATCTAAACAGTCTTGGCCGGTTTGGCTCAGCGGTTAGATCATTGGCCTGTGGACCAAAGTGTCAACGGTTGGATTCCGGCCCCAGTAGGGGTTGTGCGGGAGGAAACCAATCAATGTGTCTCTCTTACATTGATGTTTCTCTCTCCCTCTCTTCCTCCCTTCCACTCTATCTAAAAATCAAGGGAAAAATATCCTCGGGTGAGGATTAACAAAAAAATAAATCTAAACAGACCTATAATGATTAATGAGATTGAATCAGTAATCAAAAAAAAAAAAAAAAAATCTCCCAATAAAGAAAAGCCCATAGGCCGTAACCGGTTTGGCTCAGCGGTTAGAGCGTCAGCCTGCGGACCAGGGAGTAGTTCTGAGTTCAATTCCAGCCAAGGGCACGTACCTCAGTTGCAGTTTGTCCCCAGCCCCAGTTGGAGACGTGTGGGTGGCAACCAATCGATGTGTCTCTCTCCCTCCCACTCTGTCTGAAGATAAATGTAAAAATATTCTTGGATGAGGATTTAAAAAAAAGAAAGAGCCCTGGCCGGTTTGGCTAAGCGGTTAGAGCCTGCGATCCAGAGAGACCCGGGTTCAGTTCCCGTTAAGGGCATGTACTTCGGTTGCAGTTTGTCCCCGGCCCTGCTTGGGTCGTGTGGGTGGCAGCCACTCGATGTGTCCCTCTCACATAGATGTTTCTCTCTCTCTCTTCCTCTCTCTCCCTCCCGCTCTATCGGAATAAAAAAATGCAAAAATGTCCTCGGGTAAGGATGAAAAAATAAAAAGAAAGAGAGAAAAGAAAAGCCCATAATCAGATGGCTTCACTGATGAATTATGCCAAACATTTTAAAACTTAATGCAAATTCTTTCACATAAAAATTGAAGAGAAAAGAACACTTCCAAATTCATTTTGTGAGGCCAGCATTACACTTATCAAAAAAGAAATTAAGAAACTATTCCCATTAATAATAGCAGAAGAAACAATTTTTAAAAAATACTAGATATAAATTTAACCAAGGAGGTGAAAGATCTATACACTGAAAAACTGTAAAAACATCAATTTTAAAAAATTATAGAAAACACAAATAAATAGAATATTTTGTGCTCATGATTTGGAAAAATATTATTAAAATGTTCTTACTACCCAAAGCAATCTACAAATTCAATGTAATCCTTTCCACAATTCCAATGGCATTTTTGCACTGAAATAGAAAAAATCTTAAAATTTATTTAGAACCACAAAAGACCCCAAATAGCCAAAACAATCTTGAGCCAAAAAATAAGACTGCAAATATAATTTCCTGGTTTCAAATTATATTACAAAGCTATAGTAATCAAAGCAGCATGGTGCTGGTATAAAACATAATGGAACAGAATACAGAACTCAGAAATAAGCCCACACATAAATGGTCGCTAATCTTTGATAAGGGCACCAAGAATACAAAATGGGGAAAGGATAGTCTCTTTAATAAGTCGTATAAGAGAAAAAATCAAATAATAAAATTGGACCAAGGTCTTGCACTATACACAGAAATCAACTCAAAATTAAAGACTTAAACATGGGACCTGAAACCGTAAAACTCCTAAAAGAAATCATAGACAGAAAGCTCCAAACATTGGCCTTGGCAATGATTATTTTATACATGACACCAAAAGTACGTGCAACAAAAGCAAAAATAAACAAGTAGGACTATAACAAACCAGAAAGTTTCTGCACAGCAAAGGAAATAATACAAACAAATATAAAGGTAGTGTATGAAATGGAAGAAAAGATTCACAAACCATATATATGATAAGGGATTAATATCCAAAAAATAAGGAACTTATACAACTCAATAGCACAAAACACAAATAACCCAATTTAAACATAAACAAAGAACCTGAATAGACATTTCTCGAAAGAAAACATACAATTTGGTCAACATGTGTATACAAATCATCCAAATTAACATCATTAATCAGAGAAATGCAAATCAAACCACAGTGCAATATTACCCCAAACGAGGTATACATGTTAATAAACTTCAGTTTGCTTTGTCTTGTTAAAAGATTAAAAGTAGAACTACCACATATTCCAGAAATCTCACATCTTGGTATTGATCCAAAGAAATTGAAATCAGTATCTCAAAGAGATACCCGCACTTCCATGTTCTTTGCAGCATTATTCACAACAGCCAAAATATGGAAAGCTAATAATCCTTCAAGAGATGAGTAAATAAAGAAAATGTAGTATATACATACACTGGGATATTATTAAGACTTAAAAAAAATAAGGACATCCTGTCATTTACATAAATATGAATGGACCTAGAAGACATTATGCTAAGTGAAATAAGTCAGACAAAGACCAACACTGCATGATCTCACTTATATGGAATCTAAAATAACCAAACTCATAGAAACAGAACAGGATGGTGATTGTCAGGGGCTAAGAGGAAGAGGAAATGGGGAGATTATGGTCAAAGGACACAAAGTTTGTTATGCAAGATGTATATACCATATTGTGTACTTAAAAGTTGCTAAGAAGGTAGATCTTACATTGTGTTATTACTACAAACAAGAAAAAATAATAATAATGAGAGTGGGAGGGAACTTTGGGGGTGATGAATATGTCTATGGTCTGATGGTGGTGATGGTTTCAAGGGTGTATACTTACCCCCAAACCCACTGAATTGTATACATTAACTATGTACAGCTTTTTACATGTCAATCATACTGCAATAGAGTAATATGAATAAACAGGACCATAACAGTACTAAAAGAAAAGACAGAAATTTTTTTAAATGTCAGAATGGCCATAAACAAAAGACTAATATCTTGAAAATTTTCACTACATAAACATTATTAATTTTGTATGGCCAAGATCACATTAAACAACATTGAAGGACCAACAGAAAATTGGAAAATAGCCGCAGCAAGAACAAGCAAAAGTTTGGGTTAATTTCCATGCATTATGCAAACCCATAAATTGGTAAGGAAATCAATAGAAAAATAGGCAAAGGATGTTACTAGAGTTCACGGAAAAAGAATGGCTTTTTTTAATGTGAAACGTGAAACACCGAGCAATAGAAGCATTTTACTGCTGACTATCAACATGAAGCTCCTTCTCAACAATCTTGCAGAGCAGAAACGGAAGCAGAGTATGGTTACTGACTGCCAATTGCCCTTCCTTGGCATGGAATTAATTGTAAGCCTTACAGGCCATACATACTGGACTGTGGTAAGATCCATCCAGAATCACCTCCAACCAGCTCATGAGTCTTCCCAATTCCGTATTTGGTGAGCTCACATTGGTAGCATGAACTCGATCCTGGCGGGAATATTTACACCACAGAAAATAGCAAACGGTACAAATCAAAGATTTTCTAGTTCCATAGAGCCAGGTGCTAGGATCCATCCCAAATATCTTCAAATCCAGTAGTTTGTCACACTTTCTAAGTTGTTTTCAACTGGCTTGGAGTCAAAATGAGGGCAAGGGTGTCCAATAAGAAACACAGCTGTGTGTGTTTTGAAAAGGGATCCCAGGCAAATGTGATATTGCACACGTACATATCAGCAGCCTCACTTGAGCACCCCAAGAACCCAATTCCGTTTTCATGTATTGGCAGAAGGTCTGAAAAAATAGAATTTGATGTCTTTCAACTTTCCTAAAACCATAGTGCAAAAATGAGAAACTTGGTTAGAAGACAATATGGCTCTGGGAAGAAAGGCCTGGGGGATCCGCTCACCTTAATTTCCGTCTTCTCCTCCAGGTTCTGAAGCACCTGTATCTGCCTAACATGCTCCTCAAAGTCCCCTTCCTGCAGAGGCTTGAGGCTGGAAATCATTTCACTGTGGGACTTCAGTGACTTTTGTTTCTAAAAAGCCAGGGCATAATCTTATTTAGATAAAGATCTAATCATGATGTTGTCTTTTACATCTTGAGCAGTGTCAGAAAGGCACACCTCACCCCAACCACACTGTCCTCATTAGATACCTGCACACCTGCCAACATCCACACAAGCCCATGTTCCCTTCACTGGTGTTCCCCTGAGAGCTCAGGAGAAGCAGTTCCCAGGGGAGAACAGAAAATAAACAGTCTTACCATGTTTTTCACAATCACTCTACATGGAATCTTAGCTGGGTTTTTTTTTCCACAGAATTTTAAAATATATACTAATAAGATAATTATCCAACTACACCAAGAATTTTGTATCCAGTCCGGCTGGTATGGTTCAGTGGTTGAGCATTGACTCATGCACCAAGAGGTCATCAGTTCGATTCCCTGTCAGGGCACATGCCCAGGTTGTGGGCCAATACCCAGTGGGAGGCATGCAGGAGGCGGCCAATCAATGTTCTCTCTCATCGATGTTTCTATCTCTCTCTAAAATCAATAAAGAAAAAGAAATTTTTTTTTTTTGTAGTGGTAGGTGCCCCTAGCAGGAACCAAACCCAGAGCTCTCTGGTCTGCAGGATGATGTTCAACTGCTGAGCTAAACTGGCCAGGGCAAGAAAAAAAAATTTTTTTTAAGAATTTTGTATCCAAAAATTAACGTCAAGAAATCGACGGCATTCTTATACATCAATGATGAACTCACAGAAAGAGAAACTGAAAAAACAATCCCATTTACCATCGCTCCAAAAAAATTGCAATACCTAGGAATAAACTTAACCAAAGAAGTAAAGGACCTATTTGCAGAAAACTACAGGTCATTGAAAAAAGAAATAGAGGAAGATATAAAAAAGTGGAAGCACATACCCTGTTCATGGATTGGAAGAATTAACATAATTAAAATGTCCATACTACCCAAAGCAATCTATAGATTCAATGCAATCCCCATCAAAATACCAACGACATATTTCATAGAACTAGAACAAATACTTCAAAAGTTCATATGGAACCAAAAAAGACCCCGAATAGCCACAGCAATCTTGAAAAAGAAGAACAAAGTTGGAGGGATCACAATACCAGATATCAGGTTATACTACAAAGCGACTGTAACCAAAACAGCCTGGTACTGGCACAAGAACAGGCATATAGACCAGTGGAACAGAACTGAAAACCCAGAAATGGACCCAAGGCAATACGCTCAATTAATATTTGACAAAGGTGGCAAGAGCATACAGTGGAGTAAAGACAGCCTCTTTAATAAATGGTGTTGGGAAAATTGGACAGCTACATGCAAAAAAATGAAACTAGACCATCAACTTACACCATACACAAAAATAAACTCAAAATGGATAAAAGACTTAAATGTGACCCGTGAATCCATAAAAATTCTAGAAGAAAATGTAGGCAACAAAATTTTGGACATCATACGGAGCAGAATTTTCACTGATACATCACCTAAGGCAACAGAAATAAAGGAGAAAATAAACACATGGGACTACATCAAACTAAAAAGCTTCTGCACAGCAAAAGAAACAATCATCAAAATGGAAAGGCAACCCACTGTATGGGAGAACATCATTGCCAATGATGTATCAGATAAGGGGTTAATTTCCAATATATACAGAGTGCTCATACAACTCCACAAAAGGAAGACAAAGAACCCAATTAATAAATGGGCAGAGGAGCTGAATAGACACCTCTCCAAACAGGACATACAAATGGCCAAGAGACATATGAAGAAATGCTCAACATCACTAATCATCAGAGAGATGCAAATTAAAACAACAATGAGGTATCACCTCACACCTGTCAGAATGGCCGCCATCAACAAATCATCAAACAACAAGTGTTGGCGAGGGTGTGGAGAAAAGGGGACTCTAGTACACTGCTGGTGGGAATGCAGACTGGTGCAGCCGCTATGGAAAACAATATGGTGTTACCTCAAAAAATTAAAAATTGAACTTCCATTTGACCCAGTGATCCCACTGCTGGGAATATACCCTAAGAAGCCTGAAACACCAATCAGGAAGAATATATGTACCCCCATGTTCATAGCAGCACTATTTACAATAGCTAAGATCTGGAAACAGCCCAAGTGTCCACCAGTAGACGAATGGATCAAAAAGCTGTGGTACATATACACAATGGAATACTATGCAGCGGTAAGAAAGAAAGATCTCTTATCCTTTGAGACGACATGGAGGGACCTGGAAAGTATTATCCTAAGTGAAAGAAGCCAAGCAGAAAAAGACAAATACCACATGATCTCACTTATATACGGAATATAATGAACATAACAGTCTGAGGAATACAGTAGACCCAGACACATGGAAGTAAGGCATAGACTGACATCCCTCAGAAGAGGGGATGGGGGGTGGAGGGGTGGGAAGAGATAAACCACAGAACTTATATGCATGTATGCATGACGAATGGACGTGGACAACTAAGCCGGGGACAGGGTGGAGGGGGGGTGAGGTGGGGGGTGCCAATGGGGTAAAAAGGTAAAATATCTGTAACAAAAAAAATAAATAAAGTATTTAACTTTAAAAAAAAAAAAAAAGAATTTTGTATCCAGTTTGGCTCCCATACTTTAATAAAATTAAAATAATAAAATTTCAGGCTACAGAAGTGAGACACAGGCATGAGTACATAAACAATCCTGTAGGGAAAAGACCAAAAATATTGGATGTTCCCATTTAGGAGAATGTGGTCCAAATTCAGAGGAAACCATGAATGGTAAAAATGATGTCCTCATTTACCAAAACTCAGCATTTCCTAACCAAAAGTAACCCTCTGACCCTTGATGAAGTGGTTTCTGAACAACTCCAAGTTCAAAGCAATGCCTGTGTACTGAATGCCCATTCAGCCAGCACTGTGTGAGGGGAATATGGGAGTCAGAGGTTTTAGGTGAGCTCAGAAATAAGGGTTGGGAGCTAGGGATTAGGAGCATGAAATCCCTATAGTGAAGCAGCATCTTATTTTCTATAAACCATTCCTGACCACACTGGGGAAACATTTAAGATGGGAAGGCCCAGGTCACTATAGAATGTCGCCCCCGCCCCAACACACACACACACACACATACACACACACACACACACACACACACACACACACACACAGCTCTCATTTCAACCCCACCACCTCCCATCTCTGCCTTCCATCTCAGATCCAGACGATGGATCACCCAAGACCCCAGGCCTATCTCATGACAATCCTCTTCTAGAAAAGTTGTCTTTTTAGGCAAAATGTGGAATGATTGTGAGAAACACTATTAGTTCATTTTCAAAAGCAAGATTCTCCTTGATGTTAGGAGGACCCACAGGGACTACATATATTCTGCAGATATTTCTCCTTAAAACTTTTCCCCTGATACAGTTTTAGTCCTACAGATTTATATGGGAAGATACAGTCCAAGTACAATTTTAGTAACGTTTTCCTGAATAAACTTGATAGTTTATCCATTAGAAAAGCAGGAGCTTTGACGCTGAAAGAGCTGGGTCAAATCCCAGCACAGCTCCATCTCTTAATAGCTGTGTGACCTTGGGCAAGTTACGTGGCCTCAATGCCTTGACCTGTAAAAGGAGGAATGTTAATAACTTAAAAAAAGAAAAAAAATTTAAAAAAGAAAATAATAAACTCATGATGTACCTATTTTGTTTGTTATGAGGATTAAAAGTTAATGTATATATAAAGTGCTTCTGCGCAGGGCCTAGAAAACAGTCAATAAATGTTAGGTGCTAGGTGTGACCTCCACAGACCCCTCACGGCGCCTCGTGTAGCTAGCACTAAGCCACTATTAGTTGGGAGAAAAATACGTTTGTTTAAATTTTGCCTCATTTCTTGTCCAGTGATGAAAGCCCTTGGCAAAAATAAGAATATATCCAGGAAGCTCTTACTATTTGCCAGATAATGTTAGGTGCTGTCTGTATGCCAATTTAATCCTTTCAGCAACCCGTCTTACAGAAAAGAAACTGAGGCACAGGAAGGTTAAGTAACTCGCCTAACATCACACAGGCAGTATGTCATAGAGCAGAGATTCAATCCCAGGCACTGGCCTCTGTTATCACCTTACAGGGTATTAGACCCTGCAGTAGCAGAGGAAGTAAAACTAGTACAAACCAGCAAATAAATTTTGAGAACAAAGAAGCAGATTCTCAACAAAAGAACTTTGAAATGCCTTTTACGGTAGGCACCTCTTCTAACGAAGAGTTACGGCTGGCAGTACTTTTCAACTCATCCCAAAACAATTTTTTTGCTTGTCTAGTTCCGCAGGTAATTTTACTTTCTGTTCATCAAAATTTATTTTATGGTCTCTTTCCCTCTGATGGGAAGTTTCTGCTTCCTACAAACAAAAGCAAGAACAGTAGAATCATTGATTCTGTATTATGGCACATGTTTACTGAGAAACTGCTAGGGCCCTTGTCTGTGCCAGTCCCCATGGAGACCCAAAAAACTTTCATCCCAGTCCCCATTGTTTGGACTTGAAGTGGGCCAAGTTTTATCTGAACTTTCGAGGCCCTTGAGGGTAGAGATCATGCCTTTTCTGTCTTTCTATTCCTCACCTCAGTGATGCTTGGCCTCAGTGATGCTCAATAAACACGTGCTGAGAGCATGAATGGTGAATGAATAAATGAAGGAATGAGTGAGACAATTTTATGTATTTTCATTTTACAAATACTTACTGAGGACCTCCTGTGGGCTGGATTCTGGAGCTTTCAGAATAGGATGCACACTTTGTCCTGAAAAAGCTGTTTCCTTCTCACGCCCACCCCTCCACTCTATCTGAATATAAATGGGAAAAATATCCTCGGGTGAGGATTAAAAAAAAAAAATGCAAAAAGCTAACTAAGAGTGTAGTGTAAGAAGTTAAAATTCAGGTCGAAAAGCCTTCCGGGGGTGCTGAATACTGTAGGAAACTTCAAGTCCCTGCTCTACTTTTGGCTAGACAGGTCTGCCAAACTATTGAGTTTTCCTCTCCAGACTACCTGAAATCATGTGCCACATCCGGGAAGATGCCCCCCGAGCTCTGACTCCCCGCTCTGGGAGACCAGCCAGCCTTGTGGCCTGTGGGACACACATACACCCTGGATCTCCGGGGCTGTCCATGACTGAGTCTCCTGATGTGTCTCCTCCATGCCCACCTGAAGCTGCCACTTCTTCTCCATCAGGTGTTCCAGCTCCTCTTGGGGCAACTTTACTTTGGTCCACAGCTCTTCTATCACCTTCTCCATTGACTGTCTCTGCTTCTGTTTTACTGTGGGGTCCATGCAAACACAGGGTGACCAGTGTAGGTGGAAAAGTCAGTGTAGTTCCTTGCCTATATCATCAATCACACAACCCGGTCTGAGATTAGCGTGGCCAATTACATTGTACATTGACCTTGGGCAAATGACATAACCTCTCTGACCCTCAGTTTCCCCAAACTGGAAAGTGGACATAATAACAGCACCTAACTCAGAGGGTCATGGTGAGAATGAAATGTGACCATGCAAAGTGCTAACTAACACAGTGCCTGGCATGATGCTTAATAAATGTGAACCAATACTGTCATTTACATAATTCTTTTGACACTACTGACACACAGAAATGTGAATGCAAAATTGCTAGAGTAACAGAAGCAGAATACCAAATAGTGTGTACACATTGATTATTAATACAAAGAACATCTCTATGTACCCTGACAGCAATCAGAGAGGAATTTAAAGTAATGAAAGTAATTGTAGTTTTAAGGTTACTTTTTTCAATAATATAAACATATAGTTTTAAATTTCAAGTGAAAGAAAGGCACCATGCATCATTATGAATTAGCCAAGGTTGCTTAAAGTGTGCCTTAAATTTAAGTTAAAAAAATATTCAGAATGCCCTGGCCAGTTTGGCTCAGCAGTTAGAACACTGGCCTTTAGACCAAAGAATTGTGGGTTCAATTCTGGTCAAAATCATGTACCTGGGGTCCCCAGCCCCAGTTGGAATTGTGAAGAAGGCAACCAATTGATTTGTTTCTCTCACATTGATGTTTCTCTCTCCCTCCCTTCCACTTTATCTAAAAATCAATGGAAAAATATCCTCAAGTGAAGATTTAAAAAAAAGATTCAGAATGAATTATAAAAGAACATTCTAACTAAACCTCATATGGATAAAGCAGTAGGGGTTAAGGGTTAATGAAAGACACCAATTGTACATTTGTTACTTTTTAAAGTATGTGTAGTAACTATTTGATAGATGACACTGTTATTAAAACTGGATGGAAAGGAGGGTGTCAATGGGGTAAAAAAGGAGAAACATCTGTAACAAAAATTAAATTAAAACTCTAAGCCTTTCTTTGAAAAAAGATATGACTTTTCTCAGATTAGACTTTTTGGAAACAAGCAATTTTTAGATGCAGTAGAAATGATTTGGGTTAGTAAATGATTTGAGGTGAGTGTAGACCAGGAGAGCTGAGAAAGCAATCAAAAAAGTCATGAACATGAATTGAGCAAAGTTGCCTTACAAACATATGTTCCCTCTCCTTACAGCACTTTACCTTAAGGAAATAATAAGGAATATGTTCAAGAGATTTGCATACAAGAATGTTGATCATCATGTGATTTATAACAGGAACATTTTTTAGTAACTCATATAAATTGTGAAATAATTCCATTGTGAAATAAATTATGATAGGCATTTGATGGGATATCATTCAGCCATTAAAATTGTGTTTACAAAAATTGACTTAATAATATTGGAAAATTATATATATATATATATATATATATATATATATATATATTTTTTTTTTTGGTACGTGCCCCTAGAGGGAACCAAACCTGGGACTCTCTGCTCCACAGGCCAATGCTACAACCACTGAACCAAACCAGCCAGGGCTGTGATATATTCTTAAATAAAAATAAGCAATGGTGAATACTGCAGACTGTATGATTATATATGTATACTGAAAAATAATGACAAATAATATACCAAAATATTAACTGCAGGTATATTATCCATGATTTTTATTTTCTCTTTTCTACCTTCCTATATTTAAATTCTCTATGCCAACAGCATTGTTTTCCACTTTTTGATTGTGGTAAAATACATGTAACAAAATTTACCATCTAAACCATTTTTGAGTATACAGTTCAGTGGTATTAAATATATTCACATTGTTGTACCACTATCCATCCCCATACCTCTTTCATCTTGTAAAACAGAAACTCTATACCCATTAAACAGTGACCTTTCATTCCCCCTCACAGTCCCTGGCAACCACCATTCTACTTTCTGTATCTATGAATTTGACTACACTAGGTACCTCATATACGTAAAATCATTATAGTGTTTGTTCTTTTGTGACTGACTTGTTTCACTGAGCATAATGTTCTCCAGGTTTATCCATGTTGTAGTGTCAGAATTTCCTTTCTTTTTTTTTTTTATCCTCACCTGAGGACATTTTTCCATTTTTTGTTCAGATAGAGTGGGAGGGAGGGAGGGAGAGAGAGAGAGAGAGAGGGAGAGAGAGAGAGAGAGAGAGACATCGATGTGAAAGGGACACATCAAGTGGCTGCCTCTCGCACGACCCAAACAGGACCAGGGACAAACCACAACCGAGGTACATGCCCTTAGCAGGAACTGAACCCCGCTCTCTCTGGACCACAGGCTGATGCTCTAACCACTGAGAAAAACTGGCTGAATAATATTTCACTGTATATATACACCACATTTTAGGTATCCATTCATCTGTCAATGGACATTTGGGTTGCTTCCACATCTTAGCTACTGTAAATAATGCTGCTATAAACATGAGTATACAAATATTCTTTAAGGAAATATCTTTTTATCAGAAAAAATATTTAAGAAGTGAAAAAATCTGTTTTTCTTTAGCAGACTCCAATGCAGAATCAAGAAGAATAAGATATCTAATAAATGCATAATATCTAGGTAAATGGTGCTGTTTTAAAATCCTAAGTCTGTTCTTTGAAAAGGAAATTAAAATGAGGGAACATTTTTTAAGTTTTACTACAGAATTTTAAAATAGTTGTATTATATTTATATTTTCATGTCTATATTTTATGTTTTAACATTTATTTCTTATTGAACTTTAAAAACTGGATATAAAGCATGCAAATCTCTCCATGGGGAAAACATACTGCTTTGCTACTCATTTTGGAATTTGAAGTGGTAAAATTAAAAGTGATTATGTCATAATGAGCTTATGTACATAATAAAGTCAAAGAATTGGTCTGACTCTCATTAACCCCCTTTATGCTCATTCATAGTTAGCGTCAGAGAGTGATTCACAGACCCTGGCACAGAAGGACTCTTCAAATTCATTCAGACTAACTGCCCCATTAATAGTGAAAACCAGAGACTCAGAAGGGGAAGTATTAACCATAGTCACCTAAAAGGACAAAACCAAGACTGGAGCCTACCTCTATGACTCCCCACTCTTTTTCTCTACATACATGGTCAGAACCCCTCCTAGCTCCATGTGGGGTCCCCCATGATGGACAGGATCACCCCATCCTCAACTAGATGGTGAGGTTCTGAGGGCAGCTTTAGTGATGTATGTGCCCTCCACCCACTGAATTCCAGTCAGGGTCCTCCCACAGCCCCTGAAGGACCCCCTGGACTCACCGCCTTCCGCCATGCCCTCATGCCTGTGTTGAATGTGGCTCCAGACGAAGGTGGAATTAATGAACATCTTCTCACGCAGATGGCACTACACAGAGAGGAAGCGGTGGGAAGTGCAGGATTAAATCACCTGAGTCAGCCTGGGATCCTCCCTATATCAAAACTCCCATTGTCCTGGGACTTCTGGGCTACTTCAGACGCAAACAGTGTAATTTACTGAGTAAGGCTGTGATATCAACCCCCTCCCAAATATATATATATATATACTGAGATTTAAAACATACCAGTATCTTAGGGAACTGTGAACATTAACTAGGTATTTGATGATACTAAGGAATTTTTGTTGGTTTTTCATGGTGTAATGATGGTATTGTGCTTATGTTTAAAAGTGAGGGTCTTTGCCCTGGCTGGTGTGGCTCAGTTGGTTGGAGCATCTTCCTATACACCAGAAAGTGGTGGGTTCAATTACTGGTCAGGGCACATATCTAGGTTTTGGGTTTGATCCCAGGTTAGGATGTGTATGGAAAGCAATCGATACACAGAAGACCTCTCTCTTTCTCCCTCTTTCTCTCTCTCTCTTTCTCTTTTTCTCTCTCTCTTTCAAATCAATAAAAACATATCCTCGAGTGACTATTAAAAAATAGAATTATAAGCCCTGGCTGGTTTGGCTCAGCAGTTAGAGTATCAGCCCGTGAACCAAGAGTTTCAGGTTCGATTCCCAGTCAAGGGCACATACCTGGGTTGCAGGCTCAATCCCAGATTCCAATCAGGGTCATGTGGGAGGCAGCCAGTCAATGTGTTTCTCTCACATCGATGTTTCTCTCTCTTTCTCCCTCCCTTCCATTCTATCTAAAAAAAAAATCAATGAAAAAAATATCCTCATGTGAGGATTAACCACCCCCAAAATAGAATAATAAAATCAAATAAAGTGGGGGTCCTTGCCTTCTAGAGATCTATACCAAAATATCTACAGATAATATACTATGACATATACTTCAAACACAGGGTGGGGTAAGTGGAGAGGGGAACAAATGCAACAACATTGGCCAAAGTTGATACCTACTGGGCTAGGTAGTGTGCAGATGAAGCTTCATTACATTTCTCTCTCACTTTCTCTCTCTGTTATTGTATATATTTGAAATTCTCCATAATACAAAGTATATTAAAAGATACTAATATCCAGGTCCCACCCAGGGTTGAGAACCACCAGAGCAAAGATAGCAAATAATAGCATCTCTAATTCCACCTCACTTTCCTCAAGCATTTGAGACGCTGCCAATCTACCATACCCTCTTTTCACTGTAAAACTTCAAAGTTTTTCCAAAACAGCTGTGCAGGCTGCATTACCAGTCAGTAGAGTAAGAGGAAGATTACTGGCGATATTTACACCAGGGCAAATGAGACAGCAGTTGTCCGTTGTCTCCCAATACACATCTCCCCTTTCCCTTAGCAACAGAAAGGATTTTTAGATGGTCATAAAGCTAATGAAAATAAACAGTGTATGCCCCATCTTCCCTTGCAACCAGGTGTGGCCATGGGACTAAATCCTGGCCAATGGCACACAAACAGAAGTGGTATATGCCACTTCTGGGAGGTGTCATTAAGGAGACATGCCATTCCTCACCCTCCTCCTCCTGCTGAATGGAATGTGGACTTGAGAGGTGGAATTCAGGAAGCTACCTTGGACCATGAGGTAAAGTCACATGACGAGGCTGGCAGAGAAACACATGAAGGACTGGGTCCATGATGGCTGTGGCTTTACATACCACCGGGAATTCTCACCTCTAGCCTGTGTTCTTAAGAGAGAAAAACAAACTTAGATTTGATTCAAACAATTACAGTTGAAGGTTCTCTGTCACCCACAGTCAAACTTAAACCAGCCGACACAACCTGGATTGACAGACATTGCCCACTCTGGAGTTCCAAAACGACACAAATGAGTTCCTCGTTGTCAGAAGGAATATGAGGTGGGTGAGTGGGTGGGTGGGGAATATTTTACAAAGCATGTTATTCCTAATTTTAAGCCCATGACCTCATCCACCCTTTCCTGCCGCCCCAGTCCCACCTCAAGCGGCACACTCAAAACCAGGCCCCTGAAGCTGGGCAGCCACCGCCGCCTTCAGACTGAAGTCCACACGCTACCTCGGCGTCCAGGTTACCACAACCCGGCTCTGGAGCCTCTCCTGCCACGTTCCTCACCAGTCTCCTGCCAAACCCCACCTCGGCAGCCCAAAGCCAGTACCCGGATCCCCTTCTCACACTGCTTGTAACATGCCTCCGCCAAAGCGGGCTCAACATTCAAGGCTCATTTAAACACCACCCCGGGACACTCCGTGCTCCCACAGCCCCTCGGCCATTTATCTTAACACTTTCTCCACCTATGAGGACATCTGGTCATTATTGGCAGTACAGTAGCTACACCCTCTTCCTCTGATAACAGCACCCCAGCCTTCTTCCGGGGAGTTACCCTCCCCTTATTCTCAAGGCATGGGCGTCAGTCCGCCCCAGCTGCGTGGAACATGTGACCGAGACCAAAGCCCATTCGAGCCCTGCGTCCCGGGGCCCCGTGACGGATTCAGAGATGGGTAGGAGACCCAAACACAGGAGACAGTGAAATACTAGCTGGGGTGCTGGGACCAATGTAGGCCCTCTGTCATGCCAAAGAAATCCGTGAGAATGAGAAGTTGTCATTACTGTGGCCCAGCTTGCTACCACCCAGACAGAATCTTTCAGAGAATGGATCCCACACAGAGGAAGAATTTCCAAGAGCTGCAGAGAAAGAAACTATATTCTGGTGCTATTTGATTCCTGGGCAAAGCCACCCCTGAGTGCCACCATAACCCTGGATTTTTTCAGTTAAATCAACCAATAAACTTCTTATTGGCCTAACCCAGGTTAGACTGTTGTTTGGTCACTTCCTACTGAAAGGGTTCTTATCATAACGAACATTGTATCAATTACCATTCTACTGAATTGATTGCTCTTGCCCCTCCTACCCTCAAACTATGAATTTCTTGAAAACCTGAACCAGCAAGACTTGTGCTTACATCCTCAGAGCCTGGCACTAGGCCAGGCCACCAAGACAATTTATTACAGAACAATTGTCCCAAACCACGTTTTCCATGGACATATATGCAAATACTCCAATGTCGCTCTGGCTAATAAACTGTCACTTGGTTAAATAATGAAGATCCTTTTCCAGATGGGCCTGATACTCTACCAATTCCTTGCCACACATTAATCATACACACACACACCTCTCTTACATATGCCCTTACACAACACTCTCTACATACACACACAAATCCCTCATACATACACTCACACCCTCCATCAATACACACACCCTTAGACATATATACACCCTCACTCATTCATGCATACCATAAATATATCTTTATGTACACACTTGTATTCACACACAAGCACACATTACATACCACACAAACATATTGTACACAAAGTTACCCTCCAAACATTCACATATATGCATCAGACACACATATTCACACCCTCCGTACATTCAGACATACACACACTAGAAACACCCCTACATAAACACACACTATGCACACACACACTATACACACACATCCTTCATACACACACCTGGCACACCTGTATAATCTCCATACACATACACACACACACACACACACACACACACACACAGTAGAACCTGATCAGACACCCTCAGGCCCTCTGACCATGAGCAGCATCTCTAAAATCTGCTCCTGACCAGTGACTATGGCCCAAAGTGGCCTCAGGGCCCAGGGAGTGGTGCTGCCCAGGTTGCCTAGTGGTAGGCACCCAGCCTCCCACTCTCCTTGCCCTGTTGATATGCCTCACCATGTGGTTGTTCTGGCCAACTGTCCACAGGCACAGCTGGTGCAAGTTTTTGATCATCTTGTGATGCCAGTGGCTATCCTCCCGCACTCTTGATCTCTTCGGCCTGGCAGGCCAGCTCCTGCTGACCACGCTGCTGCTGGTCCAGGCTGGCCTGCAGCTGTGACTCCAGCTGGGCAACGCTGGTGCTCAGGCAGTCCTTGCAGTGCAGCAGGTACTTGATGATGAGCTACGCCAGGCGCAGCACCTTGAGCAGCGCCGTGTCCATAGGCTGCCCACAGTGTCTGCACACCTCCTGGTCCAAGTTGCAGAAGATGATGTCAGCGATGTTCTCCTGCAGGGTGGCCACATCCAGCTCCCAGGTCATGTGATCCAAGTCTAGGGCACTGATGCGCCTCCAGTCCATGCTCCCCTGGTGAGACTAAAACTTGAAGGGAGTGAATGTGTAGGCCCCAAAGAGAGGATGACAGGAACCCTCAGCACTAGTATCAGGAAACTGCATGTTTGAGGAAGCCCTGGGTTGACCACCAAGGGAGGGTGCCACCGAGGCCAAAGCAGTGAGCAAAGGAGCTGAGATAAGGCCTGGAAAATGAGAAGTGAATCCAAGTTTGACAAGGTATGTGGGCTGTATGTACCGTACACCTGGCCAACAAGAGCCTATGTGGGGGAGGTGAGGGAGCTGAACAACAGCCGGGGTATGCATGCTTTGCACTGACATGGCCAGAGCCGTGGGAATCAAGGGTGTGGACTTTATAGTCACTCAACTGTGCATTCAGATCCTCAGCTTTGGGCAAATCTCATCACATCTTTAAGCCTTCTAGGTATATTGGGATTCGCGGGGCTCACTTTGCTAGTCTGTGGTTAGGAATGAGGCAGGTGAAGCACCCAGCTTAGTGTCTGGCACATAGTAGGTCCTCAGTGAATATCCCTATGCCCAAGTTCACTGCCAGGGGTCTTTTTGGGGGGGGGGGGATGGTCAATTGTATAAATGGGTCTTTTTGCAACCCTACACTGGCCTCAGGATAAAGCCCAGCAACTTGCCGTGGGTGGCGGAACCACTAATGTCCAGCACATTCCCTCTTCTCCTTCTCTCACGACAAGATCACAGTGGACACGGGTGGGCTACCTTTCCCCGTTTCCCTGGCTGGAAGGTGTGGACATATGACTATGTTCTCTCTCTCATGGCATGTAAGTGAAATGTTGTCTACCACTGCTGGGTGGGAAGGAAGGGGTGCTTAAGACAATGGCCGTGTCTCTGCACTCACTGTGCTCAATCCATGATGGTCATATTTCTCAAACATAATGGTTTAGTGAAACGACCTCCAGTTTGTTGTCAAAGACTCAGATTCTACTCTCCACTTTCTTGGTGGACCTAGAAACCGTTCTCTCTTTGAAAAGCAATTTGACAAGAGCAACGGGAATTTTAACTCAATATTCCACTACTAAGAATTACAATTTATTCTATAGATAAACTTACACAAGTGTACAAAGGTGCTTGTGCAAAAACTGTCATTGAAGTGTTGTTTGTAATAGCGAAGTACAAGAAAGCAAAGTACAAAGTACAATAGAGGATGCAAGTGGTATCTCTATACAATGAAATGCAACGCAGCTATTGATGAGAATAAGGCAGCTTTACATGTATTGACAGGGAATACCAGAAGTTTGTATGTGTGTGTGTATGTGTACATGTATGTGTGTGAATGTATGTGTATATATATGTATACACTTCTGTTTCTGTTTAAATGATATATTACTATAATCATATTTAATAACTTGCAAAAATAAGATATCTCACATATATATCACATGTACATCTATATATTTGAATATTTAGAGATATATTTTAATAGATATAGACATAGGTATAGGTATAGATATAGATATCACAATAGAATGGTTATCTACATGGGAGGAGGTAAATGGAAATGTGCAGTGGGGATAAATGAATAAATAAATAAATAAATAAATAAATAAATAAATAAATGATGGTCCATGGGTAGGAGATAGATAAATAGGTAAATAGATAAACAGATACATAGATAGATAGCCCTTACACAAATTAATGATAATCACACACACACACATATGTATATGTACACACATATATGAATAATTCATATTTGTTACTCATGTATAATCAAAATTAAATAAAATATGAATTTATAATTTATTATATATTATTTTATTTGCATAGACTATTTCTAGAAAAATAAGCTGTTAACAATAGTTACCTCTAGACAAGAGAATAAAAGTTAGGAGACCTTTATTTTCCACTTTCCACTTCTCCATACCATTCAAAGTTCTATTACTTTTATAACGTTTTCCCCTCACTTGAGGATATACTTCCATTGCTTCTTAGATAGAGTGGAAGGAAGAGAGGGAGGGAGAGAGAGAGAGAGAGAGAGAAACATCAATGTGAAAGAGACACATCGACTGGCTGCCTCCCACATGATCCTGACTAGGGTTGGGAATCAAACCTGCAACCCAGGTACATAATTTGACCAGGAATCAAACCCAGGACTCTTCAATCCACAGGCCAATGCTCTAACTGCTAAGCCAAACTGGCCAGGGCATATTAATGTTATAATTTTTAAGGAAAAAAATACAATTTCTGCCCTTAAGAAACTTAGAATCTGGGGTAATAAGAAGTATATATGACTACACTTAAGTTCTGTCTAGATCATGTGATTCAGACTTTTATGTGCAATAGAAAGAGAAGAGTCATTGACATCATGAAGAAGAAAGGCCTTGAGGAAATGGCAGCGGTGGATTGCAAAGAGGGGGAGGGCCTCCAGGAAAGGGCCCGTCCTCCCTAAGCCTCTGTCTTCATTTGGGCAAGGGGATGACAGGCTTGCCCCACCTACCCCCAGGGTGTTGTGGAACTGAGGACAGGCAAGGGAAATGCAGTCAGTACTAACACCAGCTGCAGGGCAGGAAGTGCCAGCCTCTGTGCCAGATGCCAACTCTAAATACAAACCTACAAATGGCAATGACTATTCCCATTTCACAGGCAAGGACATTGACTTCTGGAGAGAGTAAGTGGCTCGCCCCAGGTAGGAAGACCAGAATTGAAGTAGGAGGTTCGTCTGGCTCCAAGTTTGTGGGCTTTGAAGCACCCAACATGATTCTTGAGACTACTTGTCCCTCGAACTCATTCATTCATTCACTCATTCCCCCTGCATTTACAGCATGCCTTCTTGGACCAAGCCTGGTTCCAGGCTACTGAGGTATATTAACCACACACCTGCCCGCCACCCAGGAGCCCAGCATGCCTCCTTGTTGCCACAGTACCGAGTCCAAAACCTAAGCCTGGTCTCGAAGACTGCCTACAGGATGTTACCGACCCACCTTCTCTACTTCGGCTCCCAAGCTCCCTTTTCCCAGAAACTCTTCTCCCCAAAACAAAACTCTAGCCACAAGCACCCCCACCATGGCCCTGAGGAGAAGATAAGCACATTTCTACATAACATGTCACGTTATTTTAAAAGAAGGAAGGGAGGCAGGCAAGATGATACTCACCATGTTCAGCTCCAAGCTGCAGCCATGTCACCAGAGCCTCAACAAGCCGTGCCTTGAAACAACAGCAGGTTACCAGGTATGCTTCAGCAAGGGTAACAGGACACCTGCTTTCTGTCCTCCCACAGACCAGGAACTCACCTGAGAACTCACTGTTTAAATATTTAAGCTTTGGCCTCAGATGTTTGCCCACAGTTCTCTCTCTAATAATAAGGCCAAGAACGCTCCATCATCAATTCTCTCAGCTCCCCTCCCACCCCGATGAATGCTCCTTCCAGTCTCTTCCTCAAACAGTTACTACCCTTTAACTCCTCCCTTGCGGTGGAGTGTTCCAATATCCCTGGGATATTATTCTGCTGTTCACCCACAACTACCTGCAGCCCAGATTACTATTGAACTGAACAGAAGTGTCAAAATCTTAGAATATCTGCCTCAAGACTCTATATTCTTGGGGTTTTGGAGATAGAGGAGCAAGAATTAGGATAAAGAGTAAGAATGGAGTTAGGAGTCCTTCATTTGGACTCCTTAGGGTCAAAGGTTATTCACTTAGTAAAATGATTGATTTGTTGACTGTCTGTGTTTATAGCTTAGTTGCACTGGCCTCCAAGGAACATTAGAGTGAAGGAGCCCTTGTGAGTGGGCTCAGGCTCATCAGGGAGAAGCTTCAATGCCTACACTGATTGTCAAGATGTGACTACAGTGGTCTAGCTTGCCTCCCGGGCCACCCTGAAATCCTCGCGTTGACACTGAACACATTCTCCAAACACTGATGATGGCAGCCCCACTCCCAGTTATACAAGACTCTGAATTAGTGGTCCAAGTTCATGAGGTTTTACTAAGCCCCAAAAGTATCACTCCTATCTTGCACTAAAATCCCAAGGGTTCAATTCTCAATAATCCTAGGGATCTGACATCAAAAGGTGAGCAGAACTATAAGAATTTGAGGCTTATGGTGATGATAGCAGCCATCATTTATTAAGTGTCTGTGTGCCAGGCACTGTGCCACCCTTTACAAGTACTACTTCTACCCATCATACAGCCTTGTGTGCAGCTGTGATTTACCTCAACTAAAATGTAAAAACTGAGCCTCAGAAAGTTAAGGGACCTTCCCCAAATCACTCACCTACTAAGTAATGAAGCCAAGATTCAAATCAAGTTCTGTCAAACTCCAAAGCTTTTGAATTATGACAAACTGCCGCCCAATGACGATGGTGATACATAAGTTATTCTCCATTATGGAAAGTACCTGAGATTTCTTGACCAAACTGCAAAGACAGAAAGAGCTTACAGCAAATCACAATAGGGTCCATGGCAGAGACCTTAAATTCTCCCTGGATCTCCACAGACCCCACTTCACAGCTTGAGTCTAGAAGACAGTAAGGTAAGAATGTCTGTGGTTACCTGGAAACCACATTCCCTGTGGTGGAGGGGATGAAACACCTTGCTTTCTCCAAACTGAATTAGCAGCCGACTGCTTGTCCCACAAGTGGGAACAGGAACACGGGCAGAAATGACTCACTGTCGTTAGAAAATTCAAAGCTGTGTTAACCATCTCCAGATGTTTTGATGGGGTCCCAGGAAACATCCCAATACCAGACCAATGTCATGAATTAGTGGGACCCAAAAGAATAATAATTATTCTAGCATTTCAAACTCACTTCCTTGTTCAAGAGATCATTTCTACCTGGGGCAATCCCACAGCCAACAAAGGAAGCCCTGGTTTTGCACATCCCAGTGATGGGGTGTTCACTGCCTCACAAGGCAGCCACCCTACGGTGAAACAGCTCCAGGAGGCTTCGTGGTTCTTCTGAAACCCACCCACCTGTACTCTGTCAAAGACAATTCCTACAAAACTGATCAGACAGCTGATTTTTAAATAAAATTCTGGCTGATTATTTTTTATATATAAATTGACAGCTAGACTATACAACCGCCACTGCTAACTTCCTGTCTCTCTGCTTCCTCAAGAATGCAGCCAAGTTGCTAGTTACAGAATAGACAGAGAGAGGAGGATTACATCATAGGGAGTAGTATAGTCAATCATATCATGATAAATAAGCATGAGGCCAGGTGGGTGCTTGAAGCACCAGGGTTCTACTCTGTAAAGAACATGATCTTCTAACCATGTTATTGTACATCTGAAACTAATACTGAATAACATTAAGTGTAAACTGTAATTGAAAAATACAAGATAATTAATTTTAAAAAGGAAAAAAGAATGCAGCCAAGAGGAGCACATGAAGGGAGCCAAGCTTCCAAAGATGGCTGCCAGGCAATGATTGACAAGCCTGCCCCAGCTCCCAGCTGACTTCAGGGTGCCTGCCCTGGGAGCTCAGGTGTGTTATTAGGGCTAACTGTTATGGCTGCCAAGGTAACCTTCTAACCGTCTGCAAACAGACTGTGCACACACCGTAAGCAAGGGAGCAAGAGACACCCCAATGGAGAGGAGAGTGGCCCAGGGGTTCTCTAGAGCACCGCTGTTACAGCTCTTAGACTTCTCTGAATCTATTGTTTTCTAGAGAAAGGGGTCCTTCTTTCCACTCTTTCTGACCCTTCAAGGGGGCTGCCCCCACTCACAAACCATCGAGTAGTAAGAGGGGGACCTACTCCACCGGACACACAGCTAGCTCTCCCTTAAAGATGGCCTCCATTCCCAGCAACTTTAAGGACAGATTTTTAAAAGACAGTGTTCACATTTTGGTCAAAAGGCTATTTTACATTTGTGCCACAAAAGGATTTTAAAATGAAAATTGGAGGTACGGATTTGACTGACATCTCTCAGGGGTATTTCGGTGAAAAAGACCGCCTACTGACATAACCTATCTTCCCGGGTGCAGAATTGTTAAAAGCCAACACTGCTTTTCACATTGAGAAGAAAGGCAGTTTAGAGTGTAGTACTGGTGTTTTCTTTCCCATGGAGGAGCCATTGCTTCTTAGAAGAGTTTCTCCATCTTCAGTGCCTGGGCCATCAGACTCCACAGAACCCTCCCTAGAGGTAGGCGGCCCAGTGACAGGTGGCATTGCATGTGGTTAACCCTGCGGATCAGAACTGGCCCTCACTGCAAGGGGCCTACAGAGAGGTTCAGAACAGCCCACCAAGTTGTCCCCTTCCCTATTCCTGTCAGTTCAGTTGAGCAACATGCCTTTTGACCAGCTCTGTGACAGAACCCAGTTGCGTTGCACAAATAAATTCAGTTTTCTGTTCCCAACCTTAAGTATATAACTTCATGGGACCATTTTGTCAAGTTGGGTGGTGTCAAAAATATTTCCACATGAGGGCAATGTGTCCAGAGCATTGGTGTTCACAGACACAGACAAAAGACTACTTATCTGCCACTTGACTGAAAGACTAATCTCCTCTAGATAGGGTGTTCTCACTGGCCAGTCTTCAGCCCAGGGGAGGTGTTAGGGACTGTGACAAAGGAGAGAGACCAGTTGCCTTGTCTGCAGATAGTTGTGGGAGAGGCCACAGCCAGAGCACCTAACATTCACCAGGTCTCTCTTCTAAGTCCAGTTAGAAGTCAAACTCCAGGCAACTGTGCAGGAGCAGCAGGCCCTGGGCTCCATAGAGTGCTGGGTGAATGGAGCCCCTGCCCAGGCCCTCTAGAATAATCCTCTGCCAACCTCTGGATCTTTGTCTTGTACTAAGCAAGTCTCCCCTGGACTTTCATCTGCAGCCACCTCATGAGAACACCAGCCCAGGAATACAAGGGGGAGGAACTAGAGATGAAATGTGTTTGTTTTTAAATCATCTCATTACTAAAAGATCTCCCTTTACCTACAGAACTCAAAGCATTAAGCCACCCCCAACCCCTAATCATTCTACTACTTTCAAAGAGAAAAAATCCAAAGCTATTCTACCAGTCCTGGGGTGTTCTGTCATTCCTGCTCCATTCTGGGGGTACCTCAGTCCAGAGCAAATCTAAAGAGCAGAGGTAAAGAATCAAGCCCCAGTGCAGGAAGCCAGGTCTCTGGAAGCCAATTCAGGGTTCAGATCCCCAGCTCTGGGTCAGGATCCCGGCAGGCATCTGGAGCAGCGAATGCCTACCTTCCTGCCACAGGGGCACTGATCACCTGGACTGCAAGGACGCTCCCCCACCCAGCGCCTGGTCCCAGCGGAATTCCTGGCATAGTTTTCCCACGCAGCATTGCTCACCTAAGGGTCCCGGAGCCAGAAGAGTTGGCAGAGTTCCTAGAGTTACTGGCTCCCCTTCTTGGCACGACCCACCTCCAGGTTCGCTCAACCACCCCAATGGCCCCAGGTGACTGCCAGAATCCTCTCAGCTGGCCTCAGGACCAGGATTCATCCCCAGCCTCGGGAAGCCTCGTGCTCTCTGGGCGGAACAGAGCCGCCCAGCCACCTCAGTGCTCCCAATCTGACGAGCCAGGGACGGGAGAAGCTGTCTGACCCAGCAGCTTGAGGCCTAGGGTATCAGAGGCATCCGGATCCCCTGACAGGCGCTCCAGCCCAGGAAGAGGAGTGGAGCCTCTCCCCAGCCCCCTGGGACTAGTTTTTTGTTTGTTGTTGTTGTTGTTGTTGTTGTTTTTATGAGGAGGAAGGAACTTTGCCTGGTTTAACCCCTTCGGAAAATCCAGGATCCATGTGAATGGCTCCCAGGCCTTGCTGAGGGGCGACTTGGAGCCCAGGGAGACAGGATGCGCGTGCACACACACACACACACACACACACACACACAGGAAAGCAAGGGCAACTGCAGTCTCCAGGGCAGAAAGCCCAGCCCACTCACCTTAAACTAAAGGGAACTTCTTGGTTTCTGATCTGGCTCCACGATAGTCTTTTGAGTGAGTCCCAGGCCTGGACAGATGTCAATTATCTCACCACCATCACCCCTCAACCTGCTGACTTGTCCTGTGCACCTAGCTGTGAAGCCCAGGACCAGAGGACTCTTTCTCTCCTGATATCAGTCCCTGATCCCTTCCCATAGCCAGCCCTTGCTTTACTGAGTCGCAGATTTCTGGGAATTATTTTAAGGCCTTTCTCCCACCCCAGCCTCAGTCTGCCAAGTTCTGTATCTTGGGGCAGCCAAAGCAAAATGGGAACATTTGTTGGCAAGAATGTGGAGAAATAGGGAAGCCCATGCATTGCTGGTGGGAGTAAAATATGGTACGACAGCTTTAAAAAAGAGAATGGTGCCCTGGCCAGATTGGCTCAGCATTTAGAGCATCAGCCTGCAGACCAGACAGTCATGGATTCTATTCCAGTCAAGGGCACATACCTCAGTTGCAATTTGGTCCCCAACCCTGGTTGGAGTCATGCGAGAGGCAACCAGTAGATGTGTCTTTCTCACATCAATGTTTCTCTCTCTCTCTCCCTCCCTCTCTCCCACTTTCTAAGAAGATAAATAAAAAATATCCTTCGGTGAGGATTTATAAATAAATAAATAAATAAATAAATAAATAAATAAATAAATAAATAAATAAATAACAAGAATGGCAATTCCTAAAAAAATTACACAAAGAATTACTATATGGTCCAGCAGTTTCATTTCTGGGTGTATACTCAAAAGAACAGAAAGCTGAAACTCAAATATTTGTACATAACAGCAATATTCACAACAGCAAAAAGGTGAAAATATTCCAAGTGTCCATTGACATATGAATGGATTACAAAATGTGGTTCATACATACATTTAAAGGAATATTATGTAGCCTTAAAAATAAATGAAATTCTGACACATGCTACAACATGAACCTTGAAAACATTATGGTAAGTGAAATAAGCCAGACACAAAAGGACAAATATTACATGATTTCATTTATACATCCTACCTACAAAAGTCAAATTTAGAGATATTCCAGAAAATAGAACAGTGCTTCCCAGGGCAGAGGGGGCATGGGTGGGGAACAGGGAGTTAGTGCTTAATGGGGATTCTTTGGGAAGATGAAAAAGTTCTAGAGGTTAATGGTGGTGTTGGTTGCACAACAATATGAAAACACTTAATGCCACTGAATTGTACACTTTAAAATGGTTTAAATGGCGAATGTTATGGTATGTATATTTTATTACAATTTTTAAATTTTTAGAAAGGAACAGTGGTTGGGGCAGTGACCAGCACCAAGGAGGGATGTCTGTGACCCTCTGCTCTGACGGGGAGTGGTGCTCCTCCTCTCCTGGTCCGGGTGTGCTTTCTCTCCAGGGCTCCCTCTGCCCCCCGAAGGGGAGGGAGCAGCTTAGGCTTCGGAGACAAGGATTCATTTACAGTCCACGTTCCCAAGTCATGTAACCCTGGGAAAGTCACTTATCCTCTCTATAAAGTGGGAAAAATGATCTCTACCAAGCAGGGTCCTAATGAGAACCAACTTAGCTAAAGCATCTCTAGGCTCAGCCCGGGGCCTGGCAGTCAGTGTGTCCTCCAGTTAGTCCAATGTGAGATGGGGGGGGGGGGGGGGCTTGGAGCATTGGCTTCCCCGCTCTCTTCCCAGTGTATTCCTGAAGTGTGCAGAAAGTAGCTGAGGACAGCTGTTTGTGTTTGCCATTCCACCTGCCTCAGTTTCCCCATGTGTAAATGGGGTGCCCTATTTTGCAGAGCTGTTGTGAGAAAGTCAACTTGACATGTGCTCTGGTCTATCTTGCTGGTAAGGCCAAAAGCTAAAGATTCCACCCTCTGCTGACCAAGACCTGCCTTGTGTGAAACCCTCACCCACTTCCTTTACTTGGCCGCAGTTCAACATTCAATACAGCCCGGAGTTTTGAGTGCCTACCTTGTGCCAGGCTCCGTCCCAGGTCCTGAGGATACCAAGAGTGGATAGAGGACTAGACCCCTTTGCACTGGGAAGCTGTCACCCTCTGTGGTGGCACCTCTGCCACAGTACACACAAGATTTGGTGGCCCAGAGCCAGTCCCTAACCCAGAAACAGGGCAAAGGTCTTTGGGACTTCTCTATTACAGACAGAGGAAGCTAATCGTAACTGACATGTGTATAGCCGCCCAGCCCTGGGGAAAGTGAAGATCAGGGGAAAGCATGGCACTCCAGGAAGTGTATAGTTCCACGATATAGTAGCAACAAACCAGCGTTGTCTCTATTTGTTACCTGGACCCACCCCCCTGAGTCACCAATCCATCTGGGCCTTGAATTAGGTCCCTGTAAGTCCTGGGACAGTGCTTACGGTAGAGATTTTCCACCAGCGTGTTGCTGCCTCTGACCACGCCCCTCCCTTCCTTGTTCATATAGTTCCACAGGTGCAGGGCATAGGAGTCGTTGAAGCTTGGGTCTGTGTTCCAGACTTCGTAGTAGCGCCTCCACTCTAGATAGGAAATGGGGTAAAATCTTTGGGGGTGTAGAAAGGACAAGTTCAAACATCTGAGATCGCTCACCTCCTGGAAGTCTTCAAGTCTGCACCACAGTCTCAACATCCTCGTCATCAACTCAGGACCCTGGTTGCCCCAAATGTATGAATTGTAGTGTTCAACAAAGTTTTCCATGCACTCCCATAGGAAGGCGTGGTGAGGGAGGAATCCAAAAATCCCATTACTAGAGTACCGAGAAGCCTGTGCAGCCAAAAAGTTCTCCTCAGGGATGGGCCTGATCGAGATGACATCGGTGTCCATGTAGACGCCCCCATATTTCCAGATGATGGCCAAGCGGGATGCATCTGAGCTGACGTGGAGCCAATGTCTCTGTTCACTGACGTTGATCTGCAGGAGCAAGTGCAAATCAGCCCCCAGCAGCAGGGAAGGAGGGAGGGAGTGTCATAGCAGGAGGCCAGGCCCAGGGTAGCTGGGGAGGGGGCAGCAAGCCAGATTCCCAAAAATCTATCTGCCAAAACCCCAACTTTGCAAACTTACCTCCTCCGCCCTAAAAAGTTGCCTTTAAGTAAAATGTTTACAGCTATCAGTACCTGTGAGAAGACTGTAGTGGCTTTTAAAACAATTCATAAAATTATTTTTTTAAAGTTAAAGCAGTGGAAACGTAAAGGAGAAACCAGAAGGAATTTCACAATGAACTCTGAGTCATTTTAAGCAGGTGGTACAGTATATACAAATATGAAACCGTGAAGGAAGAATGTTTTAAAGTCCTAAAAATGCTAAAAACTACTAAAAAAATAAGTAGAAAAAAATTAATATTTATGCTATTTGAGAAACTGGCAAAAAGAACCTGAAAATGCATGCATGCATGTATGCCCTCATTCACTGATGCCTTTAATAACATTTAATGAGGGCCTACTTACTGTGTGCCAAGCTCTGTGACAGCTGCTACAGATATGCCAGTGAACAAAGACAAAAATCTCTACTGGGAGTAGACAGACAATAAACAAGTATTTATTACAGGTTGCTCAGTGGTTAGAGCGTCGGCCCAGGGACCAATGAGACTCAGGTTCAATCCCGGCAAAGGGCATGTATCTGAGTTGCTATTTGTCCCTGGTCCTGGTCGAGGTTGTGCCAGAGGCAATCAGTCAATGGGTCTCTCGCATGGATGTTTCTCTCTCTGTCTTTCTCTCTTTCTGTCTCTCCCTGTCCTAATCTGTCTGAAGACAAATGAGGAAATGTCCTTGTCCTCGGATGAGGATAAAAAAAAATGTTGGGAGTTAAAGTGGCAGACTTCCGGTCAAGATGGCGGGTAGGTAAATGCAGTATCGCGTCCTCCCACAAACACATCCAAGTTACAACTAAACTACAGAACAACCAGCATTCAAAACCGCCTGAAATCAAGCTGAATGGAAGTCCTACAACTACGAAATTAAAGAAGCTGCATCGAGACTGGTAGGAGGGGCGGAGGCGCGAGGGGCGGCGAGACAGTGGTGAGACGGGCTGGTCCCACACCCACGTGTGGCGGATAAAAATCAGGAGGCTACTTCGGCTGGGAAGGTCCTTCCTGAGGACTGAGGGGTCCCTGTCCCACACCAGGTGCCCCGCTCAGGTTTCCAGTGCCAGGAAGAGAAGTCCCCATAACTTCTGGCTGGAAAAACCAGCAGGAACTGAGGCTCAGGGAGGTTGATGCGGCTGGAGCCCCAGGCAGCTCCTTAAAGGGCCCGCGCACGGACTTATCGGACTCTCTCCCTCTAAGCTTGGAGGGGAGGCAGCTCGAGGGGCACCAGGGACATACAGGGAAAAACTGAGCTGTTTGGCACTGGAGCGAGGGCTGGAGAGGGGGCTTTCTCCGGGACAAACATGCTGTCAGAGGCCTTTGTTTCTTTGGTGAGCCCTTCCCGGGGGGCAGCAGACAGCCACCATATCCGGGACTCTAGCAACCTGGCTCACACTGGTAGCCCCGCCCTGGTGACTCCCTGAGGCCCTGCCCCACCCAACTTTCAGGCCCACCCAAGCTGTTGCCACTTGCTTAACCATAGGATTGGCCTGTCTTGGATCTAGCTTCAGGTTTTTCCTAAATTCTTTCAAACGAGCAGCATCTGGTCACAGCTAGCCCCATACGGCTCATTAAGTAATACACAGAAACAAACACAGGGAGGCAGCCAAAATGAGGAGGCAAAGAAACAGGTCCCACATGAAAGAACAGAACAAAACCCCAAGAAAAGAACTAAGTGAAATGGAGATAAGTAACCTAACAGATGCTGAGTTCAAATTACTGCTTATAAGGATGCTCAATGAACTCAGTGAGGGCCTCAAGAGCATAAAAAAGGACCTGTCAGAAATGATCGATGCACAGTTAGAAACAAAGGAGGCTTTAATGGAAATAAAGAATAATTTACAAAGATTCAATAGTAGAATATGTAAATCCAAGAAGCAAACCATTGATTTGGAATATAAGGAAGCAAAAAACGCCCAATCAGAACAGCAAAAAGAAAAAGGAATCCAAAAAAATGAGGATAGTGTAAGGAGCCTCTGGGACAACTTCAAGCGTGCCAACATTCACATCTTGGGGGTGCCGGAAGGAGAAGAGAGAGAACAAGAAATTGAAAACCTGTTTGAAACAATAATGGCAGAAAACTTTCCTAACTTGGTGAAGGAAACAGACATACAAGTCCAGGAAGCACAGAGAGTCCCAAACAAGATGAACCCCAAGAGGCCCACACCAAGACACATCATCATCAAAATGCAAAAAGTTCAAGACAAAGAGAGAATCTTAAAAGCAGCAAGAGAAAGGCAGCTAGTTACCTAGAAGGCTGTCAGCTGATTTCTCAAGAGAAACTTTGCAGGCCAGAAGGGAGTGGCAAGAAATATTTACAGTGATGAAAAGCAAGAACCTACAACCAAGATTACTCTATACTGCAAAGCTGTCATTTAGAATCGATGGCCATATAAAGACTTTCCCAGACAAGAAAAAGTTAAAGAAGTTCATCACCACCAAACCATTATTATATGAAATGATGAAGGGTCTTTTTGAAGAAAAAGATAAAATATATGAACAAACAAAATGGCAATGAATACATATCTATCAACAATGGAATCTACAAACAAAATGAACAGGTAGAACAGAAACATTCTCATAGATACAGAGAACATTTTGTTGGTTGCCAGATGGGAGGGGGATTGGGGGAATGGGTGAAAAAGGTGAAGGGATTAAGAAGTACAAATTCATTGCTAGACTGACAAGCCTCAAAGGGAAAGGGGCTGGGGGCGGGGGGAGGAAATAAACCAAAGAACTTATATGCATAACCAATGGATACAGACAATAGTGTGGGAAAAGGCGGTAGGGGGGCGGGAGTGGGAAGGAGGGGGTCAATGGGGGAAAAATGTGGAACATCTGTAATACATTCTTCATTCAACAATAAAGATTTTTTTTAAATAAAAAATAAAAAAATGTTGGATACTCATAAAAACTATGAAAGAAAGAAAGCTGGGTGAGGGGCTCTGATGGGGGCAGGGTGGAAAACAATCATATCTTGGGTTCCAGCAGAAACTGGAATGAAGTAGGTAAGTGAGCTATGCCCATATCTCCGAGAAGAAGGTTCTAGGTAGAGGGAACAGCTAGTGCAAGGGCCCTGAGGCAGGAACAGGAGGAAGACAGTGTGGCCAAAGCCGAGTAGTGAAGCGAGAGGGGAAGGAGATGAGACCACAGAGGTTGGAGTAGAGGAAAAGGGTGGATTCTGTGGGCTGGCTAAAGCCTGACATTATTTCAAAGATTTGGAAGAAAGGAGTGATGTGATCTGAATTAGTCTTCAAAGGGCTGCACTGGCTGCTCTGTGGAGAACAGACGGAAGTGGGGCTGGGAGGTCACAAGGGCAGGAGCAAAGAGGCAAGTAGGAGGTTGTTGAAAAACCCAGCCAAGAGGTGAGGGCGAAGGAGGGTCACCGAGGAGGTGAGAGAAGTGGTCAGATCCTGCACACGCGGGGAAGATCAAGCCAGTCGATTGTGATGGAGTGCGAGAGGGTGGATGACTGCAAATGCTGAAAGCTGAGCAACACAGAAAATGATTTTAAAAAATAAACAGCCCTGGCCAGTTTGGCTTGGCCATTTGAGCAGCAGCCCGCAGACCAAAGAGTCCCAGGTTGGATTCCATCCAAGGGCATGTACCTCAGTTGTGGTTCTTCCCTGGCTCCAACTGGGGTCTTGTGGGAAGCAACTAGTTGATGGGTCCTGTCTCACATCAATGTTTCTCTCTGTATCCCCCCCCCTTCCACTCTGTCTGAAGATAAATGGAAAAATATCCTTAGGTGAAGATTAAATAAAATTTTTTAAGAATAAACATAAATCATCATAAATGGCCATGTGCCCAAATGGAATGCTAAAATTTTGAATGCAAAAAACAAATCAGATTTTTCCTAATTGAAATATATTGATTAAAAGATTCAACAGCATCCAGCTGGTGTGGCTCAATGGTTGAGCATCAACCCATGCACCAAGAAGTTGCCAGTTTGATTCCCAGTCAGGACACATGCCCAGGTTGTGAGCCCAGTCCCCAGTGTGGGGCATGCAGGAGGCAGCCTGTCAATATTCTCTCTCATCGATGTTTCTATCTCTCCCTCTCATTTCCACTCTCTAAAATCAATAAAGAAAAAAAATTTCAACAGCAACTCTTGGCTTTGACAAAATAAACATTTTTTTAAAAATTCTGCTATTAAGCCAAATGAAACAGGTTAACTAAGATTTTGCAAAAATCTTCATAAGAGTTGTTCACATCATCATATCACATACAATTGATGAAGACCAAATACGTAATAAAGCTACTGACCAAAAGATTCTGACCAATTCACTTTACCACACACACAGACACACACACACACACACACACACACACGAAAGGGGGTGTGAAGATGGAGGCAGAGACTAGAATGATGGAAGGGATTATTTCCTAGCGCCCCACCCAAGCATCCTCCCCCGGGAATATGAGCCCTGCCAGCCCCTTGATATCACCCAGTGAACCTGAGTTGGGACCTCTGGCCTCCACACTGGGAGGGAATACATTTCTGCTCTCTTCAGTCACCAAGGTCGTGGGATTTGTTCCACAGCCGGGGAAAGGCCTGCACAGGGGCCTCCGTCCTGCCTCTTGACCTGCAGCCCTAAGTATTCGCTTTCTGGCCCTTTTCAGAGAAAACGCTTTCTGACGTTTGGTCTAGCCTATGATCAGAACTTAGATAGAACTTAATATGGCAAGAAATGTTACTATTTTGCTATCAATTTTTAGTTAGTTTTTTAAAAATAACTTTATAAAATTAACATATTCTCTTCTCTCCCAATTCATAGTAAAATACTTACTCTTGCTGTGTATTATATATATTCTTCTTCAAGTATTTTTCTTCCTAATAGATTGGGGAAGGGGCATTGCATAGTTAAGATGCCTATAGTTACATTATAATGTAAGAGTATTCAGTTCTATGTAGTAGTCTTTATAAGATGGCACAGTTAAAGCCACATGATAGAATCATTCAGTGGTTATACAATAAATTCCTTAACATTACCTGATTGTGGGTCCTCATGAGTAAAATATTTAATTAAAATATTACTTCCTTATTATGCTATGTTATTAAGATGAAGATTACAACATTCCTGAGAGTCCCAGGAGTTTCTTGATTATATCTTAACACAACCCAGTCTCATGCAGCAGTACTCCACCTGATTCTTCAGGAATGTTCTATTCACATAATTTTCAAGTAAAATATTGCCTAGTTTTCCCTTCAGGTGCAAAGAAATGTTTAACATGGATAAATTTTAACCTGTCAGTGAAAAATAAGGAGTATACACACCTAGAAAAGATATAGAATCTCATTGAGTTAAGAACAGTCTCAGAAGTAACCTAGACACTGAGATAGACAGCTGGAAGCAAACGACAGTGGGAAAGATAAGTCTAACTTAAGCCTCCCGAGTACTTGACTCAGGGCTCAACACAGTGAAAAGAAGGCCAGGCAAGAGTTAAAGGATCTGGGTTCTAGTCCCACCTCTGACACTGAGTCCTTACCCTCAGTGTACCCATCTATAAAATGAGTAGGTTGGACTCATTTTCTGTGGTCCCGCCCCACACGGGCATTCTAAGTTTCTCTGAACACTTACTTGAGTGTACCACGAGAACAGTGGTGTGTCTTCAAACAGCCTTTTCATGTCCAGAGGAAAGAGGAAGACATTGTCTATTGCTGAGAGGAGGGAAAAGGCTGGATGAGTGGAGTTTGGGGGCAGTTGCAGGGAACTGCTGAGACCCTTCATAAAGAACGTCACCGGTTGCTCAGGGTAAACCTTGGCAGCTGACTCCACAGCGCAGGAGACCAGCGGGGACGGCTCTGTCCTCTCAGAGGTCTCTAGGAACACAATGCTGCGTCCCTTGCCCAGGAGGGCTTCTGGCCCCTGCTGGGACTTGTAGGGGGGCAAGCAGAAGAGGCAGCTGGACTTCAGGAAGAGCTGGTAGAGGAAGCCGCAGGAAAGCAGCAGGATGACCAACAGGCAGAGCTGGAACTTCTTCAGCATGTTGACTTCTCTCTCCTGGCTGCTCCTTTAAGTCAACACAACCCGATAAAAATAACATTCACAAAACCAGATAAAAATAGTACACAAGAAAGCAATACAAGGATATTGCTTCCTAACATAGATTGTTAAAAATTCCATTAAAAATAACATTCACAAAAACAAATAAAGATAGTACACAAGAAAACAATACAAGGATATTGCTTCTAAACTTAGATATTTTTAAATCCCAAATGCATTATGATCAAGTCAAGTCCTGCAATATTAAGGAGAAAGATGGATTAACTAGGGCTATCTGAGAAATATAAGGGTAATTCAAAATAGGAAAATAATTAATGCATTAACAGGAAAACCATTAGTCACATGCATTGTCTTACAGATTAAGGGAGTAAAGCTGTATGATCATTTTGGTGAATAGATGCCAAGACCAGGATAAGATTAGACATCCACTCACAGTTTTTGTAAAGCCCAAGGAAACTTTAAGCTGACAAACGATGTCTAGCAGAACATAGAGCAACTATCATACTTAACATGAATCATTTAAAACACCCCCATTAAAACTAGGAATATGATACGGGTATGTCTGTTATCACTGGTACCAAACAACATCATTCTGCTAAGTTAACTAAGGCAATGAAAGAAGAGAAAAGAATTTCTACTATGAATTCTAGAAAGGAAGAGGCAAAACATCACTAGTTGTAAAAAATATGATTTACTACCCAAAAGATCTAAGATAATTTACTAAGAAACAAAGAGAATTAAGAAGAAAATTAACCATGGAGCAAACTGAAGGCTAGAGTTAATAACTTGCCTACACCACAGCTAGCAGAGCCTGGCCTCTAACCTGGGTCTGTCCCCACAGAACCTCCCTCTCCACGACTTGAGCTCAAACTCTAGCCAACTCCAGCAGAGCAGGTAGCTCACTTTGCAATGGTCTACTTTTTTCATTCGCTATGACTCTCTCTTATAGAAGATATAAAACCTGTGCATCAGAGCTTACCTTCCAGCCTGAAACTTGAGTTAGCCACTGTCTGAGGTCTTAGCAATGACAAGTTTTTCCTGCTACACTTTTTGATAAATCACCACCTTATCCTCCAACTCAGGAACTGGAGGAAGTAAATCATTGGTAGAAGACTAACACTAAACACAAGTCCTCAGGAAGCTCCTCCCTTTACTAAGTTCCCCCAAACACAGAGACTTGAGGACAATAAGGGTTTCACACAGTTTTTTAGGTGACCCCCACACTGAATCCTGCCTATTTGTAGACCAATCAGGGGGGTTACAGGGTGACGACTTCACCCGGAAAAAACTATACGTGACTCTGGAGCCAAAAGACAGTACCCTGGGCAGTCTTGTGTCAATCAAAATTATGGCAGAGACTAGGGAAAGTTTCATCACCAAAGAACCCCATCATTTCGTCCAAACTTTGCAAAGACAAGGTTTGAGCTAAAGTAAACCATCACCACAAATAAGCAAAGAACAACACCAGTATGCAAGGTTCTAATAATTTACAATTAGAATTGATTCTCCAATTCCAGAAGGACCCCTTGCACTGAGGTACCCAATGTGAGGTACAACTTCCTCGAGGTATCACAAGGGTAGGTTCCTCGCCCTCCACGGATATGGCCACCCCACATCTCCACAGTGTCTTTCTCCTGTGGTCTGCTCCCCAGGGCTCCCGATGTGAGCATATAGTAATCCTCCTGGAAACCAGCTTTACTCAGGGAGTCACCTACCTTCAATTCAGAGCCTTCTCGGCCATGAACAGGTGTCCACAGTTCCCCCTGGATGCTCTGTGTGAACAGGGAAGTCCCCTCCTGGGCAGACTTTGGATCCTGACATAGAGGTCCTACATCAAGGAAAGTAAAGCCATCCATTCAGTGATGGCTACTTGTTTTCTGTGTGCCCATAGATCCCCAGGAAGAGCTGTTTTGGGCTAAAATCACACCCTTTCCTTTTTGAGCTGAATTTTTACTTTAAACCTCATCAATTTTAGGTTCAGGATACCTTGGCAACTTTCGTAAGTACCATGACATTGGATGGATGGGTTGTTTTCTCCTTCCAGAGGCAAAGGGACAGCAAAGCTCCTGGTCCCTGCTCTGGGATAACCGGAGGACACCATTTGCGGAGTGATACATGCCTACTGGCCGTGTTTCTGGTGGGTCACGTATCCAGAGCCTTCCAACAGTCTGCACAATGGCCAAACTATTGAACAAGTGGTCAAGACAGAAATCACGGAAGTAGCTGGTGGTCTTTATCACAAGGGTGAAAGTGAGTGTCAGCGATGCTGTGAAACCTTAAGCACAAAAAGTGGGACCCGTTCGACCAAGACCAAGTAGAAGGTATGATGGAAAGAGCATGAAGCTTGAAATCATACCTCCAGTCGCCACAAGATAGGGCACCAGGCCAAGTCCCTGAACAGCTCAGAGCCTCAGCTCCTTTGTACGGTGTGGAAAATAACTGAACTCAGGTTCACTGTGAGGCTGGAAGGGCTCTGTAACCAAAGAAGCAACTCTCACTGTTTACCAAGGAAAAGAGGAGAAAATAGAACAATATTACTGGAGATGCTATTTGACTCCCTGATGATGAACATTAAGTTGTTGCTGTTGTAGTTTTCAGATGAGTGAAACCTATTTCCTGGGGACCTGTAGGAAGGAATCCTCAGCCCTGGTGAGAGCTGATGAGATGTGCACAGGAGCCAGCAGTCGGTCATTAGTACCCAGGGCCAGGTTAGGATCACAGCCTCATGTCCTGCCTGAGTCTTTCTGAAGACACCCTGTCATCTGAGCCACTCTGCCAGGATCCACCCAGGGCCCCCAGATCCCTCCTTCAGCCTTCCCTCTGTGATATGTGAACAGAACTGCCTTCGCTCCCTTCGGCCCCCTTTCTGCCCTGTCTGGCCTGGACCACACTGACTCTGTCTGTGCCGTCAGGTGCCCCCGCAGCAGTTCCTAAATCGGACCACAGAGACCCTGGGAGGCTCCCAGGATGGGCTTTGCGGACCCAGGGCCATAGTTTGCTTCACCTCAATCCCTTTACCCTGGTGCTATTGATGCACAGCTCCTACACATTCTCTGCCCAAGGAATGCCCTGCTCTTTACCCTCCATGACAATAACTCTGTTCAAAATGCCTCCAGATGTCTTCGCCACACAATGGCAGGCTTGCTCCAAACAGCCAACCACCCTGAGGAGCGATGTCTGCGTAGGTTCGGGCAGAGTTGTTTACCTTCGAGCAGTGGGGTTCTGGGGTGGCTGGTGAGAGCCGCTCGTGCATCCCACGTCGTCTCCTCTTCTGAAGGGTTTGCCTCCCGTGGGAGGGTTCCCGCTTCCCCCATTGAAACAGAAGCAGACCTGGTCAGTGCAGTGGACTATGGAGCCTGGGTGCTACTGCCTGAGGAGGAGGGGGAAAAACTTCTGCCTTCAGTGTTCCTTTTGTCTTTAATTCGAGATTATCCCAGTATTCTCTTTATTTTACAGTACCGTTCTGACGTTAGCTGAGCTAGGCTGAAGAAAAGGCGGTACAGGGGGTACACCCGGAACCAGAACAGAGATTTCCTTCACTCTTAGCCCCATAGATAACCTCTGATAATCTCCACTGGGAAAACGTCCATGTGTGGGCCACACTCCCTCTGCTATAAAGGACTCCCTGTAGCAAGCAGGAAAAGTTAAAGGACTTTTTAACACTAAACGTTTGTTGAACTGAATTACACATGAAAAGCGCACCTCTTAATTCTGTAGCTTCTTTGAACTTTGATTTATAAGGAAATATTTAATCCAACAACACGTGTCCTATTTACTTTGGAGCCCTTGGAAACACAGTTCCGGTTTTTAACATATTTGTTAAGTAAATGGAACTGATAAACTTATAAAGCATTTGACTATTAACAGCACAATACCAATACACCAGTGATATCTTATCAACATTGCCTATTCCTGTCCTGGCCGGATACCTCGGATGGTTAGAGCGTCCTCCTGATATGCCAAGGTTGCAGGTTTGATCCCTGGTCAGGGCACAGACGAGAATCAACTAATGGATGCATAAATAAGTGAGACAACAAATATTTGTTTCTCTCTTTCTCTCTCTAAAATCAATAAATTTATTAAAAATCTAAAAAAAACTAAGACACCATCACCAATTCCTTTCATAACTGTTCAGAGATGGAAAGAGAACTGGAACCTGGGTTTAATGAATGAACAGACGCAGTTCACTCACAGAGAGAGAAAATCCATAGATGAACACTGGGTAACCCATGTGGGAATAACAGAAGGACATTGACAAATGATGTTATCAATAATAAATCCGGAATTTATGTTTAACTGAAAATCAGTGCATTCATGCCTGCATAAAAATCCACTGGTCCCATGACAATATTGTAAACAATCTTAAATGTCTAAGAAAATGGTCTGGCCTTGCATTTCTGGCAATAATTCTTTTGTTCTCCACTCAGCCTTACCAGTCAAACATGCTTCAGTTGACAAAACCTTGCATAACTATCAAGAATGCATTTTCTGGGAATTGTTCTGGGAATTACTGTGCTAAGAAGTGTCATTTTTCCCCCTTTTAAATTGACTTGCCTTGCAGGTAAAGGAAGGAATGGGGGATAAGGCAGGGAGATAAGAGAATGTTGTTCTCATGAAGCAGTTGTGCCCCAGACACCACCTTTTCGGGTGAAGAACAGAGTCTGCGAGAAGCCTGCAGACCACCGGACTCCAGCCTGAGAGCGGAGGGTGTGTGAACGAGCTTCCCTCGCAGTTCTGAGTCAGCGTTTAGTTTCTTCGTTCTGTACGGAACTGGGAACATCTCAGAGCCACCTGTGCCAAGTGTGCTCCGGGCAGGGGCTTGGTGAGGACGGAGTGCTGTGAGAACGAGCACCTCCCAGCGTGTGGACAGAAACTGCTATGGGCTGAATGTCGGCGCCCCACCCCCAGCCACCCAAACTCACATGATGAGAGCCAACCCCCAAGGTAACGGTGTTCAGAGGTGCGGCCTTTCAGGGGTCATTAGGTGTAGACGAGTTCTGGAAGGGGAATTCTTATAAGAAGAGGAAGATGGAGATATCTCTCTCTCTCTCTCCCTCTCTCTCCCCATGAGCTTCACCAAGAGAAGGCCAGGTGGGGCACAGTAGGAAGGCAGCTGTCTACAAACCAGCAAGAGGGTCGTCTCCAGGACTCCAATCCTCACCTTGACCTTCGCTTTCTAGTTCCAGAACTGTGAGCAGTACATGCCTGTTGAGTAAGCGTCAGTCTGCGGCCCCAGCTAAGAGAGAAGCCCTGCAGGACGCTTCTTCTCTTTAACCTCCTTCATGTGTTTTCATGAGACTCTGTTTTGAGCCATGGATGAGACTGGGGCTGCTCTTAAGATTTGGAGAATTGAGTCCAGGCCTCCAGGGGGGAAAGGCAACTTCATCTGTTACAGGAATCTGTGACAGCGGAGCTGGCCTCCTTGCCCGAGACCTGTCCTCCCATCCCTTTGCCCTTCTACCTGTCCTTCAATCGGCCCTCTAGTCATGCCTTTTCTCTTCCAGCAGGACCTGCCCTCCCTCCTCTCAGTGCCTGGCAACCACATGCACCTGTTCCCAGTCAGAAACTAGCAGTTGTGCTGGACTCCTCTCTCCTCACCCATCATGTACCAGCCATGCTCATTTGGGTCCTCCCGGAAGCAGACTCCTGGAAGAGATTCACTGTGCAAGGATTTGATTAGGGGAAATGCTTGTGTGAGAAAGTAGGAAGGGAGCAGTGTGAGGCTGGGCAGCTGTCAAATCACAGAGCAAGTCTGAGGGGAGCTTGGGTGGAAGTGTTGTGGGCTGCCTTGCCTGGGGCTGTCCTTGTCTAAGGAAGGTTCAGCAAACCACCAGGGAGTCCTCAAAACAAAGTCAGCCTAGAGGGGTCCTGTCTCTCCGGAGTGGGTCTACCTCCGGAGTGGGACTACCTCCGTATTCTTGCTGCTCACAGCCAGGCTGGGAGGAGCCTGTGGGAGGAGCCTGTGCCCCACTCAGTGATGGATCTCATGGTGCAGCGCTGGGCCTTTGGTCAGTTATGCTCCCTCCAGTCAGAGGTCCGTGAGGCACCTTCTCATGGCTGCCACACTGCACCCCTTGATCTACACAGATCCACTTCTCCACTCAACTTTGGGGATCCATGTTTCCACACTTCCCACAGGTCCTTCTGAGGGGAAACTAATAAAGGAGGCTCGAGGGAGGAGCTAGAGCCCCTGTCACTGCAGTTGATCTCAGGGCTGCAACTCATCCCCACGCCCTCCTCCCATATCCACTCCGAATCCCTGTCACCCTCAGAAGCCACCACAAAGGTGTCTGTAGCTTAGCTGGTTGTTTACACAGCTCACCTCCCCACAGTGCCTGCACCCTTGATAGGCGTACTCTTCCTCAGTTTGGGTTGCTGCACAGGTCTGTTCATAGTTATAAGGGGACAAGGAGTACCAGAGACCCCAACGTGGATCTGCTAGGCTCTCTATATATTCCTCCAGGCTGCTATTCCAAAAAAGCAGCCTGATCTCCTCCTGCTCATCATGGTCTATTATTTGCTGGTCCCTGGGCACAAGGTGTCCAACATGGCCTGTAGTAGGTTGTAATTCAGTGAGTCCCCTGTGGTCTTACCTGGCAAGTAACTACTCTACTTGGGGTTAGAACTTCCAACACTGAAGAACCCAGACAGTGCGGTGGCTGAGGCTTTGCAGACAGAAAAGGTAAATTCATACCCAGATTATTCATTCCTGTGAAGATAATCTATTGGAAGAGGCCTCATGTAGTCAACCAACTCGGTGTCCTTAAGAACTAGGGCCATATCCAGGACTCAGTATTGAACTCTGTTGCAGACAAGTTAGACATTCAGAGGCAGATGAGCTAGATCAGTCTTGGGAAGTGGGAGTCTGTTGTTGGACCAGTGCATGGCCTCTCTCTTGCCACCACAGCCATTCTATTCATGTGTCCATCATACCAGTTCTGGGCTGGTGACCAATCAGATTGTCAGCAGGACTACAATGTTCCTGTGAGGTAGCTCACTGTTGCTTTAATTTGCATGTCTCTGATAACAAATGAATTTGAGCATCTCTTCACATTGAGTTAGCTGTCTTTGCCCTCTTCCTATTTAAACCTTATTTCTGTACATGAACTTTGATATCAACTGATCAAACTCCAGAAAACAAACAAAACAAAAAAGGAAACTTAAAAAAACACACATGCTTTGATATTTTGATTTGGATCATGTTAAATTTATATATGAACTTGGGAACAATTAGTATCTTTAAAATGTTGTCTTCTTATCTGCATTAAGAATTTCTGGGGGAAAAACACTAAATTTCTGACTTTATGGGATTCAATTAAATCAATGATGTGGAAATCTAGCTTTTAAAAACTTTATGTAATAAAGAGAATTGATTTAAATGAATTTGATACTGTTGTAATTAGCTGGTTATTAGTAATTAAAAGGGAGCAAAGGGAAGGCCAGACATTATAGGCATATCATTTGGACAGCTTCACCAAGAAACGGCAAATTTACACTTTCCAGGGAACCACCAGTGTATTCCCCACAAATCACTGGGGGAGGGGTCCAACAAAGGAAGATAGACCCATGTGCAGTGAGTCAAGGAGATGTTAAGGAAGATGCCTGTCAGTCAGACCTGGGAACAGAGATCATTGACTAGAGGGGGCAGGGCCGTTTGAAGGCCATGAAAATTTGGGAATTCATAATCCCAGACAAAGGAATTCTCACTCTCTTGTGGTTCTCGATTTCACCAGTGTTCCCTTCATTGACATGTGGCCCTGCAGATCCCACACACAGTGGACTAATAAAATGCCATGGGGAACACAAACTAAGCTAGCCTGATGCTGGATTAGACTGTGCAGACATGGAACAGAAACTCTGGGAAAAGCTTTAACCCGAGCTCTGCTAAAGGCAAAATGGCACCTCTTCCTTGGTAGAATGAAGGGAAATGGGACCTTGGAAACTCAAGGGTTTGATTCCACAGAAATAAAGTTTTCTACCGTATTTCATCCTCCTGTGTGAGTCTCGGAAAATTCCTTTTCTCATGACATCACAAGAAGCCCATAACCATCAGTAGCTGGTGGAGACAATGAGAGCTCCCTATGATAACAAATTAAACATTCAATTCAAAAAGGAAAGTGAACAAAAAATGGAAGGCAATAAAGATATAAATCCCAAAGTCCTAGATCTATTTCACACCAAATGCTGACAAGATGGAAGCCATCTGTGACTCCATCCTGGATCGGCTCCTGGACTTGCACTGCTGTGTGATCATGAGTCCCTGGAACAGTCTTTGGATTCCATGGCCCCTGATCCAAAGTGCAGGGCAACAGTCTCCTCAGGGGGCTGGGCAGTTGAACCAGAAACAGGACAGACGTGTAGTGTTTCCACATGGCTCTTGAACATACTTTTAATACTAGCAACCCGTTATGCAGCATGACAGGCAGCATTTGTGCAATTCAATCCCTGCTAATAATTAACACTAAGCTGAACTATGCCCAAAATGGCCTATATATTGTGACCTATAGACAGTTACTACAGTCACATTAAAACTAAAGCTCAGGCTAAAATGTAATATGCAAAAGACAAAAGAATTATATTAATCTCAGCAATTCAGTGTAAAATTTTATGTTTACAATGTTTGGTATTTAAAGTAATTAATTTCCTGACATATTATTTACCATCTTCAATTTCAATTATATTTGAAAGACATTAAGAGCTCACCAGGGAAAATATTTATAATAAATGGAAGGAAACTGTACATAATTATATATAAATAATGACTTAATTTTGTAAAGCAAAATAGAAATATGCTATATTTTATTTATCAAAATACTCACAATGGTAGTAACTCCTGAAAGGCAAAAAATCCCTGCCTTATTCATCTTTAAATTGCCATCTTATAGAACAGTGCCTAGCACAAAGTAGGTGTTTGATAAGCTTGTGCTGAAAATAATTAAAGTGAGTAATATCTGTCTTCAAAAGGGGGGTGGGTACTCAATATCAAGCAAACAGATGAAATTTTAATATGTTTGTATATGAAACATACAAAGGTCTAAAGGGAAAGTCAATTCTCCACATAACTTCATTATTACAAAGTTAAGTCTTGAGTCAAAAACCCAACTCTAAAAATATAGTCTTAAAAATCACGTATCTACATATACACTAAGACAAGTAAACTGTCTTATGCTGCTTCATCATCATCCACTGCAGCATAAATGGCTTGATTCCTCCTCTTAATTTTCTTTCTTTGTACAGGTTCATGCTCATCACTCAACCTCTTCAGTGGTACTTCAGTTAAGTCCTTCCCATCTCCAGACTCCACAGTCTCATCAGGTTTCCCCTCTCTGCCAACTGGGGAACCCAATGTATCATCAGAAGAAACAAACATGGAACCTGGCAAGATCCTGACATCAGAGAAGCTTGCAGAAAAGTCAGAAGCCTGATCAGAAGAAGGTTCTGCAGATGTTGTATTCACGTCACTATGTGCACTTACAAAACTATCTTCCTCTTCCTCTTCTTCATCTAACATGATTTCATCTGGATTAACAGAGGACAGGGCTGATGTGTCTGTGTTATAGTCACTAGGATCTTCTCCGGAGTCATTACTGCCCACTTCATCCTGCTCTTCATATTCACCACACAAGTGATGTTCTTCCTTGGCCTTCTGAAGACTGACATTAATGTCTGTGATGCCAAGTTTGGCACAAAATTCAGTAGTCTGAGGATTGATCCTATGAACCAACTGCATTTGTGTATGTGGCTTGCTTGGGTCATAACAAGCGGCAGTCACACTAAAGTTAAATGGAACTTTGAGGTCATGATTCAATGTTTCCAATACTTCATTCATAGCTTCTTCTGTTGCACTATAATCCCACCTATAAAAGTCCAAAACAATGGTCTTTATATTTTATCGGCCCCAGATAATAAATGATGAAATCTAACTTCAGGTGCAAGAATAAAAATTAAACCATGTATCTAAATTCCATTTAGTAAAATTATCATTAATTTAGCAAAGGACCATTTTGAAATAAAAACAATTCATAGAAAAAGCTGTCCTTACACCCTAAAGCAAATATAAAGTATTTTATTATTTTATTTAAAAAATTTTTTTTCTTTATTGATTTTTAGAGAGAGAGAAGGGGGGGGGAGAGAGAGAGAAAGAAACATCGATGAGAGAGAATATCGATTGGTCGCCTCCTGCATGCCCCCACTGGGGATCTGGCCCACAACCTGGGCATGCGCCCTGACCAGGAATCGAACCAGCAACCTCTTGGTGCATGAGTCAATGCTTAACCACTGCGACACACCAGCCGGGCAAGTATAAAGTATTTTAATGTGTGAACCAAATCTCTACCATATTATAGTTTTGAAACACTTAATCACATACACTTATTTGGGTTGGTGCTCACAAATCCATTTTCTTGTAAACCCTGAATTATTCTTACACTCATATAACAGTTGCTTTCTTAATTATAACATGGTTGCAGTAGACTTCTTAGTGGTATCCAGCACCACTTGCAGAGGGTTGCTTTATCGTATTAATTGTATTTGAGTGTAGGACTCTAGTGTTCTTGGTGTGTTGCATGGGCTGCACTATTTACAGCATTGTACAATAATAAGTAAAAGAGGCAGTATACTTCACTGATGCTTGTCTGGTAATATCACTTCTGTGTTATAATGGAAGGTTTTCTGTGATGTATGAAACTTGTGTGTTTTATATATAAATAAGTATAGTTAGTGTTGTGATAATGCCTGTTTTCATCTGTAAATAGTTAAGTATGTACATGAGGCACTACTTCTGATTTATTGCAGTGTTCAGTCCTAGTTTTCACTTTTATTAAAGCATTCAAATTTGCTTTCAATTTTATGTACCTTAGCTCTTAGATTTGCAGATGTGTACAGATAGTTCATATTTATGTATTGCACACGATCATGCTATCCGGCATTGATGCTATAATGTATTATGTAAATAATAAAAGCTATGTACAGAGTAAAAAAACAGGGGGTGGGGAGGGGGCACAAAAACCTTGCACGCATGGAGTGAGCATGTCCTAAACAAAGTCAGGCTTACCTTGTATGCAGGCCATTATTTTCAGGCATATTCCATAGGCGCCCAGTCACATTAATAAGATTGTCTGTAGCCCTGAGAATAGTGAGCCATTCAATATCATACTCTAAGGAATCAGGAGCACTGGGGTCATGATCTACTTCTATTACCTATAGGAAGAAATTGGTAATTTAACAAATATATCTATTTTTAATGTTCTAAGGATTTCAATATAATAATAAACATTAAAAGGATTTTAATTTAGTAGCCTAAAAATACTAATGTAATATAAATGTTCCCAAAGAATTCTCAGACTATATAAATAACAAAGAGCACAACTTAATAATTTAGGAAACAAAAATTAAAATGTTTTCTTTTTTTGTTGTTGTTATTCCTCACCCAAAGATATTTTTTCCATTGACTTTTTAGAAAGAGTGGAAGGAGGGAGGGAGGGAGAGGGAAGGAGACAGAAAAAGAAACATTTTCTTAATCATTGGAAGAGTAACACTATATTGCAAAGTTATTTCATTTTCTTCTTACCTGAAGAAAGTCTCTACGTGGTAAGCATTTGTCCAAGGCTAGAAATTTGGTTGCTTTGGCAGTCTGTCCTTCATCCTTGGCCTAAACAATACAAACCATGATTTAAGAAAGAATGTTAAAACATCACAGATAATTCATATATTGAAGAGGATGAAAATAACCTTTGTTACACAAAGTTGTGTGTCAAAGGAACAACTGTTACTTTTCCAAAGCTAGTTAGTTCTTTTTTTTTTTTTTTTTAATCATCCTCACCCGAGGACATTTTTCCATTTTTTGTTCAGATAGAGCGGGAGGGAGAGAGAGGAGGAGAGAGAGAGAGAAACATCGACGTGAAAGGGACACATCGAGTGGTCACCACCCGCACAACCAACCAGGGCCGGGGACAAACTGCAACCGAGGTACGTGCCCCTAGCGGGAACCGAACCCGGGTCCCTCCGGACCGCAGGCCGATGCTCTAACCGCTGAGCCAAACAGGCCAGGGCCAAAGCTAGTTAGTTCTATACTCACTTGTGCAACAATAGGAACTTAAACTCTCTGGACTTCAATTTCCTTACACAAGTCGAAGAAGAAACTAATGATGGTGATAACGATGAATCAAAGCATTTAACACACATATATCAAAGCATATAACAAAAGGATTAAAGATAACAGAAGAGTTTAAAAGTAAATAGGCAGAGTTAAAAGTACACAGTTTTTAGAAGAAATCACAGAAGAAAATCATCGCTACCTTGAGTTAGGCAATGATTTCTTAGATACAACATTAAAGGTAGATGTGCTATATCTATAGAATGAAATACTCTTCAACAATAAAAATAAATGAGAAATACTGATATATGCTACAACATAAATGAACCTTAAACACAAGCAAATAAAAGAAACCAGATGCCAAAGACTATATATTTATGATTACATTTATATGAAAGGTTCAGAAAAGGCAAACCCATAGAGACACAAAGCAGATCAGTGGCTGCCTGGGGCTGAGGATTGGACAAGGACTGACAGCAAACAGACACAAAGGAAATAGTCTCAAACTATATTATGCGATGTTTGCACACAAAACATCACTGAATTATACACTTGAGTGAATTTTATGTAAATTATACACCAATAAAGCTATATTTTGAAAAGTGAATTGTCAGAAAGAGACATGGAAAGGGTCACAAACATGAAGGTCATACCGGAAGCAGTAAAAACGTGACTCACTGAAACAGTAAGGCACATGGAGGAAAAAAACACAAGGAAACAAGCTACGGGATGTCCTGCTGAGGACCAGGTATCAAAATTCAGTGCTGATGAGGGACTAAGAGAGGTGGAAGGCACAGAGATTACAAGCATATCTGGACTGCAGGGCAGTTCTGAAGAAAGGTGATCTTTGGTGCAGGTGAAGGGGCTAAAAGAGAACACTGGCAAAGTCAGAAGAGGTTGAGGAGCCAAGATAAAGGGATCAAATATGTTGTTAATGCAAATAAAAGTCCCTGGTCGATAACAGAAGACACAGTGGGAAAAGTAGCAAATCAGATACACAATAAAAATTCAAGCATGTCAGGAGTCTTAAGAGACAGAAGAGAAAACACAGATGTGGAAAGGTGACTGATAGAAAACACATGACTTTGGACTTCAGAAAATGAAAGGAGTAACCTGGCCTCTTTTTCCCAGTGAAACTGGGGAGAATAAGCCCACAACAGAAAAGGCCAACAGGAATGTCGAGACAGAACCTTCCAAATCGTGTTTGAGGAACATAATTAAGGGGACCTCTACCAAAGAAAAGCATTTGGTCAAGTAAGCTTAGGAAGCACTGTAGACCACATCCCACTCTTGGAGTAAGGCAATACCCATTCATTAGTACATTAAACACAGAAATTCTATAGAAGCCTCTGAGAAGAAATCTCTAACTTTGTTAACCCAACATTTCCTCAATGTTTTCCCTTTAAAATACTTTATGGGAAAGTCAGAGTTTAGTCAGAATTGGAGGTGAAAGAAAGAACCACATATTTCCATAAGAGCCTAATTATAAGTATGTATTTATTCTCTACCTTCCATCAAGCAGTACCCAAGGAAAACTTAGATTCATCCTAGATTCTCTCCTCCATCCATACCAAATCCTGATGACTCTTTCAAAATCTCTCTAGACCCTGCTTCATTCTGTGTTCCCTCTTTACCTTAGGTTACAATCTCATCTTTTGCTTAAACAGCCTCCTCTGCCTCCTATTTTATATCACTCCAATTCATCTGCAAAACTGCTGCCAAACTCATCTTTCGAAAATGAAAATCTGATGTCATCACTCCCCAATTTTCCCTATTACCTCTGATTAAAACCCAAACTCCAGAGCAAGGCCCAGAAGGCACTTACGATCTTGTTCCAGTGTCAATGCCTCCACCATGGGAACTAGCTACAGTTCCCCAATGGCAGCATGTTCTCAGACCTCTAGCCTTTGTACACACTGGCCCCTCTTCCTAGATCACCCTCATAATCTACTTCTTCCTGGCACTATCAATTCCTTCGGAAAAGCTTCTCTCGCTTCATCTCTCTGTCTTCATCCCCATCTCACATTAGTCTGGCCTAGGTGCTCCCACAGTACCCTAGGACTTTTGTCACAAACATATCACACTACTTTATCATTGTTCACTTGTCTCTTCCCCACAGTGGACACTGAGTTACTCACAAGAGGAAAGTTATCTTCCACCTCTTTCTCTTTACAACTGTGTCAACAGCGTGTAGGCCACAGATGTTCAATAAGTTTATTAAATAAAAAAATAGACATTGTGTTTTCTACCTGATGCTGCATCAAGGCTGCAAACTTCACATGAAGGTGTGCAGAAAACCAGTAAGTAGGTTTTAAGTGCTCTAGAAGCTCTGAGGCAGCAGGACTTCCTAAGGTGTTGTTTTCCACTTCTTGTCGGAAAAAAGATTTAGTCTTAAGAAGTTGCTTCTTATTTCCATAATGGTATATACTTCTTGGCCAATCATGAGATAAGAATATATCCATAGGCTGCTTCAGCTTTAACAGAAAAAGAAAACTCTTAAAAACAGGTAAACCACAAGCAATCCCCTTCCTTCTCTCCACCATCACACAACCATTTACCCACTTAGATCTCTGGATTTTTATGTAGTTCATTCTAAGGATCTTCATGTAAGGAAGTCACAGAAACAGTAACCTACTCACTCACATGGGCAAAAAGAAACAGTTTTCTCTCCGCCTCACAAATCATTCTTATTTTCCAACAAGACAGATCGAAAGAGACACACTTTGATTAGACTGCCAATCAGCTATGGTCTTCGGCATTTTGTTTCTAAAATATGCAATAACCATGTTCTTTTCCCTTTTGGGTAAAGAAACTACTGTTTTAAGATCCAGGAACACCAGATTTCATAAGACATCTAGTGTAAATGATACAGTAAACCTACAGATACAGTCTACTTTTTTTTTTTTTCAGATAGAGTGGGGGTGGGGAGAGAGACATCGACATGAGAGAGACACATTGATTGGTTGCCTCCTGCATGACCCCAAACAGGATGGGGACGAACCGCAACTGAAGTACATGCCCTTGATCAGGATCAAACCCGCAACTCTGGTCCACAGGCCAACACTCCCACCACTGAGCCAAACTGGCCAGAGCAAGTCCACTTTTTTTTCCTAATGGACTCACATAGTATATACCAAAACTCTGTTTACTACATAAATCATATTAGAGGTATTTACTCATCCCAGTACCTCCAAGTAATCTGAAACAAATACTTGGAAAACTAAATTTAAGTAACTTAAGTATTCAAGACAATATAAAATATAAGAAAGATATGACTAGCCACTGAATAATGCAATAAAAATTCAGTAAAGCCCTGGCCGGTGTGGCTCAGTTGGTTAGAACACGTCGTCCCATGCACCGAAAGTTTGCCGGTTTGATTCCCAGTCAGGGCACATACCTGAGTTGCAGGTTCCATCCTCAGTCGGGGCACATATAGGAGGCAACAATCGATGTTTCTCTCTGTCTCTGTCTCTCTCTCTCAGTAAATCAGTATAACATATCATTTTGTTTGGGATGGGAACTTAAAAAATAAATTCAGTGAAGCGTGATGACTTGAAACTAAACCCTGGCTGTGAAGTGATATCTAAGCTGAATCTTCAAGGACTGGTAGGATTTTTTTTTTTTGGTACGTGCCCCTAGCAGACACCGAACCTGGGACTCTCTTCTCTGGTCCACAGGCCGATGCTCCAACCACTGAGCCAAACCAGCCAGGGCAAGGACTGGTAAAATTTAGAATGGTGAAAGGAAAAGGCAGTCAAAGTAAGAAACTGTTGCGAATAGGACATTTAAAAATGCCTGCAAGCAGGTGTGGTGTGGCTCAGTGGACTTCGTGACGTCCCATGGACTGAGAGGTCCTGGTTCAATTCCTGGTCAGAGCACATGCCCAGGTTTCGGGCTCGATCCCCAGTGGGGGTTGTGCAGGAGGCAGCCAATTGATATTTCTCTCTCACATCGATGTTTCTATTTCTCTTTCTCCCTTCCTCTCTCTCTACAAAAATCAATAAAATATATTAAAAAATAAAAGTGCCTGCAAGCACCCTTATGCTCCCATAGAGGCTATGTGGTAGGGTGGGAAGGGCCTGAGTTCACTCAGATAGGCTCTACCACTTAACTATTGGGAAATCTTAGGCAAGTTGCTTTTCCATCTGAGCCTTGGCCTCTCATTCTTAATGTGACAGAATCTGAGTGGTAATGATATAAAATATCATGTGTGAAAACTGCTTAGCCTGGTGTCAGGCACTGAATGAGTTCTCAAACAAAAACCTAGCTTCACCTGTTCTCCAATTAAGCCAGTGTGTTTTAACACCACTTTCACAATGTTCCCATATCTTCTGTCATCTATACTATTATTTATTTTCTACTTAATACCATTATTTAAAATATTTTAATATTGCCCTGGCCGGTTTGGCTCAGCGGTTGGAGCGTCGGCCTGCGGTCCAGAGACCTGGGTTCGGTTCCCACTAAAAGCACGTACCTCGGTTGCGGTTTGTCCCTGGCCCTGGTTGGTTGTGTGGATGGCAGCCACTCGATGTGTCCCTTTCACATTGATGTTTCTCTCTCTCTTCCTCTCTCTCCCTCCCACTCTATCTGAACAATAAATGGAAAAATGTCCTCAGGTGAGGATTAAAAAAATAATTTTTAATATTTTCTTTAAAGTATCACTTTAGTCCAATATATATATATATTTTAGCCTTAATGTAGTAATATCTGAAATCATGGATTTAATGTGATTTTTTTTACTCACCAAAATAAATTTATTACCATAAGAATTTTTTAATGTTCATCTGGGAATCTCCTAAAAATAACTCAAATTGAAATTTTAAACATACTGAATTATGCTATTCTTAGAAGTAATATACCAAAATGATCAAAATACATTTTGGTAGAGAATTACTTTAACATTTTTTCAAGCTTGCCATAATGTACTTTTTACATACCTGTTTTAATTTATACACTTCAACATTTCTCACATGATATATACTCCTTATTGTAGCTGAATTATAAGGAGGGCACTCAAAATGACCTTAAATTGAAGGAGAGAAACAGCTGTATTCAACACCTTTAAATACTGCAAATATAAACAGATACACATACTTTCCTAAAACTAATGTCTGTTTTCAAAGCTTTTGGCTCTTAAAAATTTATAAAAAATATCACTCTTTAAATGCTGATATGTTCGACTAGTAAGTGATCACAAACTATAAATCTAAATTCAGGGGACTGTCATTTTTTAAATTAAATTATATTTAATTTTGAAGTACATTGTTTATTTACATAGTTTAAAAAATACCTTCAGAAATGTACAGAGTAAAAAGTGTTCCTCCTAGAGAGTAGACCAATGGATGCCTAGGGCTAGGTGGGAGCAGGGATTAACTGCAAATAGGCACAAAACTTTTAGAGGTGACAGAAATGATCTAAAACTGGATGATGGTAAACTATGGATGCATAACTCCATAAATTTACTAAAACCAGTGAATTGTATACTTACAATGGTATATAATTTTACCTCAATAAAACTGCCAAAACAATGGGAGGGATCCTCCTATTCCTGTCACCAGCCATCAGTAACACTACCTAGAGGCAGCTAGTGTCAATCAGGTTTTAGCATTTCATTCAAGGGATATCATCTATGCATATACTACATCATCTGTTTCTTATCCACCCTTTTCTCACACAAATGGCAGTATACTTTACACATGTTCTGTGCCTTGTTTTTTCACTTCACTTAATTTGGAGTTTTTTTCATGTTAGTTACACTTAGAACTACTTCTCCCCCCCACCCTTTTTTTTAATGGCTTTATAGCATTAAACTGTATAGTTATATCATGATATATTTAACTAGTTCCTACCTTTTGCTATTACAAACAAAACCGAATAAATTTGCATACACCATTTTACACATGTGAAATATACCTATAGATACATTCCTGGAAGTAGAACTCCTCGGTTAGAGTACTTTATAATTTCCACAGATTTTGCACACACACCTGCCATGTAGGAGACAGCTTATTTTTGTATACCCATGCCAACAGTTTATAATCATAGAGAGCAGGGCACAGAGAACAAACTTATGACTTAACAGTTGCATTGAGGATATGTTTTAGCTGCCCAACTTAATTCAAGAAACTTTGAAATCAAATGTGAATCCAAGCTATTCCTTTAATTTTAAAATCATGGTATAATTCATTCAGATATTATAGGATGAATAAGTATAGTGCAGTATACAGCTGACCTTTGAACAACGCAGGCTTAAACAACACAGGTCCACTCACAGATATTTTTTTTGTCCAAATAATACCTGTACTGTTTTTGATATGCAGTTGGGAGTATGCAGATGTGGAGGGTTAACTGTATGCATTGATAGATACCATTTTACATAGGGGACTTGAACATCCATGGATTTTGGTATCCACATCAGTGGTGGTGATGGGGTAGCCTGGAACCAATCCCTCATGAATATCAAGGGACAACTTAAGTTTTGGGGGGTTCAAATTTATACGTGGATTTTTTACCATGCAGGGTTCAGTACCTCTAATCCCTGCATTGTTCAAGGATCAACTGTACTTATGCAACAAAATACTATTCACAAATTAAAATAAATACATTAGAGTTACACGTATCAATGTGGATTTCAAGAACATATTAAACAAAGAAGCAAGTTGCAAAAAGATACATGTAAAATGATACATTTATATGATGTTTAAAACATGCTATATAATACACTGTTTAAAGCTGTTACATATATGGTAATGATATAAAATAATCAAATGAATGATAAACATCAAATTCAAAATAGTGAATGCCTGATTGGGGGTGGTGGTAAAAGGATAGGAATGAGACTGAGGACTGACAATAATAAATTTCAACTGTATCTCTACTATTTTATTTCTTAATAATCAAAACTAAAAATGGTAAGAATACTAAGACTTGATAAAACTTGATGATGGATACACAGATAATACATCATAGAGTCCTCTATATTTTCATATGCATAAAATATTTTATAATATAAAGAATTAGTTCATAGAAGAAATCCAATGAAAAAGTCAAACTATATATTATGCTTAAGTTACTCTGGGGCATGAAAGTTTTAAAGTTTAAGAACAATTCAGAACAATACCTTTTCGATAGTCATGAGACTTGAAGATGCCAGAGATTCCACCAATCCTTACACCTCGGTATTTTACTACACCTGCCAAACCTGAGAAATTACAGTTAAATAAGATTACTATAGGCAAAAGCAATCTTTTTACCAAATGAATGAACAGTTTAGAGACCTAGAATTGCATGCAATCCTAAAGTTATCTGAAAATAAAGTATCATGCTGAGGTTACTTTTTAACATAGTAACATGCCAACAATATATAAGGTAGACTAGGGAAGAGAGGCCTATAAGCAGATCAGGCAAAAGACTAAGCAGAAAGAAAAAAAAAGAGAGAGAGATGATGCACTAAGAGGAAAACAAACATAACTTGGTACCTAATGGAATATGAGGGTGGGGTATCCTATGATGGATTTATATGTTATATATCTGAAAGTCAACATACATAAGGTATAAAGAACCTATAGTTTCTATATTTCATTTCTGATTGATCATCTCCAGACAATTTCACCTTTTCATAATGTTGCAGTTGTCAAAAACTGATCAACCAGTAATAAAGTAGAGAAATTAAATTTCTATAGTTTTCAGAAACACCTATAAACATTTCAGCAAAGAGATAAAAGGACTGTAGCATTTAAAGAGACTAAAACTGAACCCAAATCTAATCAGGTCTGTAAATCTAAATGCAGATTATAGGCAATGCAGAGGAAAAAGGAACATGTTAATCAACTCAGTGAATACCAATAGCTAAATCCAGAATGCAGGAAATTCTACAAGAAAATTTCCCATTTTTTTCAACAAATAAATGGCATGAGGGTGGGGAGGAGAGAGAGAAAAGGGGACAGTTATAGACTAAAAGACTGCAAAATCATGACAATCAAATGAAACGTGTGGACCTTGTTTGGATCCTATTTGAACAAAGCAACTGTAAAACAGACATCTTTGTGACAATCAGGCAAATCTAAACAAGAACTGGGCAACAAAAAATAAGAATTTACTGTTAACTTTAGTTAGGTATAATAATGATACTGTAGTTGTGGTATTTTTATTTTTTATTTTATTTTTTTGTTTTGTTTTTGTTAGTCCTCAACCGAGGACATTTTTCCATTAATTTTTAGATAGAGTGGAAGGGAGAGAGCGAGGGAGGGAGAGCAAGCGAGAAATATCAATGTGAGAGAGACACATCAATTGGTTGCTCCTGCACAACCGGGGATTGAAACTACAACCCAGGTAAGTGCCCTTGACTGGGAATCAAACCTGAGACCCTTCAGTTGGCGAGCCGATGCTCTAACTGCTGAGCAAAATGGCCAGGGCTAGTTGTGGTATTTTTAAAAATCCGTATCCCTTAAAACACATGGCCCGGCTGGTGTGGCTCAGTGGTTGAGTGTCAACCCACGCAACAAAAGGACACCAATTGGATTCCCAATCAGGGCACACTCTCAGGTTGTGGGCCAGATCCCCAATGGGGGCATACAGGAGGCAGCCAATCGATATTCTCCCCACATTTGATGTTTCTATCTCTCTTTAAAATCAATAATGAAAAAAATAAATAAAACAAGAAAACATGTACTGAGTGTTTATAGGTGAAATAATCTCAGGGCTGGGATTTGCTTTAAAATACTCCAGAGCATTGGCCCCGTAAGTCACAGTTGCAGATTCTATCCCCATCATGGTACACATAAGAATCAACCAATGAATGCAGAAATAAGTGGAACAAATCGATGGTTCAATGTTTCTCTCTCTCTCCCTACTTCCCTCCCTCTCTCTCTAAAATCAATAACTAAAAACAATTTTTTAATGTCACCAGGGCATTGATTTTTAAATTAATGGTAATTGTTTATTTGCTTTACACCACTTCCCCTTATAAAAGTTTTCACAGAAACGCTCTACTTTTGAAAAGTGGGAAAAACCTATATTCTCTATTCTCTATAATCTCTAAACCTAAAACCTACTATATTCTCTACTTTTGTGTATGTTTAACAACTTCCATTACAAAAAGTTTACTTTTTTCTCCATTTAATAAAAAGAGTGGGAAAAAATAAAGAAATTGCAAATAATGTGTAAGTTCTTTGCAGTTTTATTAACTGTTGCTTAAAACACTAGATGAAACATGGACATATTTTCATGATTACCTATTCAAATTAAGAGACATTCTCAAAACACCTTATATCTGAAGATGCTGCCCAACTGGTACACAAATCTTAAAAGGCTCTTCCATCCCATCAAATCAAGAACTTACAAACACATACCTAAATAATAAATGTTTGGTGCCACCCAGCCACCATAGGGTAACTCTTGCAAATGATTTGAGGCTTCATGGTTTCCCCCAATGAAGATTGTGAGAACTGGGGCCTTTTTCTCTCCAGAGTAATACCTAGAACATAAGAGTAAATTTGTGTGTTGGCATAGCAGAAATGAGGCACAGAGAAAAGAAATTAGGTGTGCCTATGCAATCAGACATAGCAGGAAAGCAAAATAAGGTCTTAAGGAAAAATCTGAGCTCATCATGAAAAGTTAAAAAGCTCTTTCTAAACAAATTGTCCATATAAGGGGATCACTTTGTAAACGATATGATTGTCTAACCACCATGCTGTACACCTAAAACTAATATAAAATAATATTTAATGTAAACTGTAATTGAAAAATAAAATAAAGACTTGAAGTTGTCTATCCTTGTCCAAGAATGAAGGGTTGCCACCTTGTTTCAAACTAGTGAGGTCAAGAACTCATCAGTTCAGGCTATAATCTTAGCTTCTAGAAACGGGACTAGCACAGAGCAGACTCCAGGATCGCCCTGGCGGGTTTTGCTCAGCAGTTAGAGCGTGGGCCTGTGGACCAATGAGACCCAGGTACAATTCCGGCCAAAGGGCACGGACCTCCGTTGCAGTTCCTCCCCGACCCTGGTCGGCCAGGGTTGGCCCTGGTCTGTCACTGGGAGGCAACCAGTGTGGATGTTTCTGTCTGTTTCCCTTTCTCCTACTCTGCCTAAAGATAAATGGAAAAGGTGAGGATTTAAAAAAAAACAAAAAACAAAAAAACTCCAGGATCGCCAGGCGGTGTGGCTCGGTGGCTGAACATCGATTCATGCACCCAGAGGTCACCGGTTTGATCCCGGTCAGGGCACATGCCCCGGTTGTGGGCCAGATCCCCAGTGGGGGGCCTGCAGGAAGCGGCCAATTGATGTTCCCTCTCATAGATGTCTTTATCTCTCCCTCCCTCTCCCTCTTCCTTCCTCTCTAAAATCAATAAAGAAAAAATATTAAAACTCCAGGATCATTAAATGAACCAGTCCAGAGTCCTATCAAGTACAAGGAGATTAACCTATCAACTTCTTCCTTCAAGTTTTGCCCTCAGAATGCGACCCCTTCCGAAAGAGATAAGATACACGAATGGAGAGCAGAAAAGTGACATTTACTAAATGCCAGTTCCTAGAGACACACCGCGAAGCCAAGACAGGAACTAAGGATGAGGGATTCGAACACAGTCCAGGTTCTCTTTCCACTGCTGGCTGCTCACACCTCGCAGCGCCGGGTCCGAGGGCTGCGCCGTGCACCTCACCTGTAGAAGGTCTGCATGTGGCGGTACTTGGGCGGCACAGCCATGCAGCGCAGGTCCGCCTCGTTGCGCACCGCCTGGAAATCGCCGCAGCACAGCAGCAGGTCTATCGGCCCCGGGCCGCGCCGCTCCGCCAGCGCCAGCGTCTCGTAGATCTTGTCCAGCTCGCCGTGGCAGCAGCCGGCTACAGCCACCCGCATCCTGCCGGTCCGAGGCGGGGAGTGCTGCCTGCAACCCTCCAGAGCAGAGCAAGCCCAGTACGGAGAGCCAAGAACTGACTGATGGCTCGGCTCCCGCCAACATTAACACCACCGCCGCCTCGTTGAGACTCCTGCGATCTAATTCACTTCCGGTTTCAAATCTCGCGAGAGAGGGAACTGGAAGGCAAGATAAACCCCAGGGTTCCAAGGAGTTTTCAAATGGAGTCGGGTCGTTAAGTCTTATTAGCAGTCTGACAGATAATAAAAATCACAACCACACGAGTGAAAAAGAAATAAAAGTAGACGTCCCCAAAAACAGAAGTTTAGTTTGATAAAATTAGACCAAATCCAAATAAGTGCGCAGGTGCGATTGGCTAATTCCCTAAAATGAAGCTCTCGCGGCAAAGATAAACGACTGAAAGTACATTAGAAGTTAAACAAATAAAGAACCAAAAAATAAAAATAATTTTAAAATATGTTAAAACTCACCGAGGATTTAAAATCATCCCCCGAAGATTTTTTTTTTAATTATCAGGGTTTTTTGATGTTTTAGTTTTTAAGCTGTTTGCATAACTAGACAGCAAGCTGAATGAAAGCAGACGACTGTCTCGAAACGTCCAGGAGAAAAAAGGACCAAACTGTCAATTTACTAATGAGTGGCCAAGACAGAAGCAAATAAAACACCTCTGGCAAGTCTAATCAAGAAAAGTAATCTAATCAAGATAATACAAAGAATAGTTAATCCATCGGTGCTCATTTTTCCTTTTCTTATTTTATCCCCCCTAGTTTTTCCTTCCCCCCAGTCACCACGCTGTTGTCCGTGTCCATGAGTCTTTTTCTCTTTTTTATTCAATTCCTACACACACACACACACACACACACACACACACACACAGCTGTCAGCCTGCTCTCTAACTATGAGTATGTCACTATTTTGCTTGTTAGTTGATTTTGTTCATTATATTCCAACTATGAGTGAAAACATATGGTACTTGTCGTACTCTAATCGGATTATTTCACTTAGCATTTTGCTCTCCAGATCCATCCATGCTCTCTGCAAAGGGTAAGATTTCCTGGTCTTTTGTGTGTGTGTGTGGCCAAATAGTATTCCATTGTGTAAATGTACCACTGCCTTTTTATCCACTCATCTCCTGATGGACAATGAGGCTGCCTCCAAATCTTAGCAATTGTAAATGATGCTGCAAGGAACATATGGATGCATATATTCTTTCGAATTAATGTTTTAGTTTACTTCGAATATACACCCAGAAATGGAATTGCAGTCATAAAGCAGTTCCATTTTAAATTTTTTGAGGTAACTCAATACTGCTTTCCACAGTGCTGCTCCGATCTTCATTCCATCCACAGTGGACAAGGGTTCTCTTTTCTCCACATCCTCATCAACAATTGTTGTTTGTTGATTTATAATAGCCATTCTGACAGGTGTGAGGTGATATTTCATTGTGGTTTTAATGTGCATTTCTCTGATGATGAGTGATATTGAGAATCATCTCATGTGCCTGTTGGCCATCTGTATGTTCTTTTTAGAGAAATGTCTATTCAGGTTTTTTATCCATTTTTATTTCTTTTATTCCTTACCCAAGGGTATTCTTCTATTTATCACCAGATAGAGTGGGAGCGAGGGAGAGAAAGAGAAAGACAGAGAGAAACATCGACCTGATAGAGCCACATCAACTGTTTGCTTCCTGCACTACCCAACCAGGACCAGGGATGAACTGCAACTGAGGTACATACCCTTGACCAGAAACGAATCCACGACTCATTGGTCCACAGACTGACGCTCTAACCACTTAGCAAACTGGCCAGGGCCTTTGCCCATTTCTTAATTGGACCATTTTTAATTTAGGGTGTTGTTGGGTTTTTTTGGGGGGTTTTTTTGTTGTTTTTTTTGGGTGTTGAGTTGTATAAGTTCTTTATAAATTTTGGATATTAACCCCTTATCAGATGTATCATTGGCAAATATGTTCTCCCTTTCAGTGGGTTGTCTTTGCATTTTGTTGATGGTTTCCTTTGCTGTGCAAAAACTTTTTAGTTTGATGTAGTCCCATTTGTTTATTTTTTCTTTTGTTTCCCCTGTCTGGGGAGACATATCAGAAAAAAATATTGCTACAAAAATTGTCCAAGATTTACTGCCTATGTTTTCTTGTAGGATTTTTATGGCTTTGAGTCTAACATTTAGGTTTTAACATCCATTTTGAGTTTATTCTTGTCTATGGTATAAGGCAGTGATCTAGTTTCTTTCTTTTCTTTTCTTTTTTCCACATATCTGCTCAATACTCTCAACAACATTTATTGAATAGACTATCTTTACCCCATTATATATTTTTGAGAGAACAGTTAATACATCTCTGCTCATTTTTAAAAACTAGATAAAATAAAAAATTATTCTAGAAACAAAGACAACAAAATTAATTCAAAATGAAGCAGATGTATGCAGAAAAATAGCAATAAGAAAACACTGGAAAAATGGCCAAGACACAAATTAAAAAACATTGTACCCAGAATGATTTATAAAAATTTCTTTCAAATTTACAAGAAAGATATAATTTTCATGATACTTAAATTGATCAAAGGGTAGAAAAAGATGGAAATCTCACATTTTCCATTACTTTTAATATTTTATTCTCCTTTTGTATTGGATTTTTTGAATATATAGAAATTGATGCTTTTTTTACAACATTGCTAAATTTAATTTTTTTCATTTGATATTTAATCTATAAGAATTGTCTTTTTCTGGATGTAAAAAGTTTTAATTGAACTAACATGAACAAATCCAATCTTAAGTGTACATTTTGATGTATTTTTGCATATGTAATCACACATATAACCACCACCCATCCCAAAATATAAATTATTTCCAGTATTTCAAAAGATTCCCTTGTGCATCTTAAAGATTCCCAAGCCTCTTATCCCAAAAGGAAAGCACTATTCTCTTTTTTGTTTTGTTTTGTTGTTGTTATTCACTTATTTTATAAAGTTAGCTAGATGCAAATGTATTTATTTATAAGAAAATGACCTGTGAATTCTATTCTATAAAATATGGATGGCATGCAAAAAAAGTAAAAATAGAGTTTGAATTTTCTTTCTGTTATACTGACAAATTGATTTTTTTTTTTTTTTTATCCTCAACCGAGGACATTTTTCCATTTTTTGTTCAGATAGAGCAGGAAGGAGAGAGAGAGAGAAACATCGATGTGAAGGGACACATAGAGTGGCTGCCACCCGCACGACCAACCAGGGCCGGGGACAAACTGCAACCGAGGTACATGCCCTTAGCGGGAACCGAACCCAGGTCTCTCTGTACCGCAGGCCGACGCTCCAACCGCTGAGCCAAACCGGCCAGGGCGACAAATTGATTTTTGAGTATATGTCTTCTCTGAACAAAAAAAGAATTTCAAAGGTATTTTGAGCCTAATAGCAGAGATTTTTTTATATATTATCAAAATACTCTTAAGAGACTAACATTTTGTGTTTTTGTTATGCCCTTGAACTACTTTTTTCCCCCAATTTTTATTAATATATTTTTGTTGCAGATGTTTCTCCTTTTTTCCCCCTAGACACCCTCCTCCTCATCCTGCCCTCCGGCCCCCTAGCATTGTTGTCTATGTCCATTGGTTATGCATACATGCATATAAGTTTATTAATTCATCTCATCCAACCCCCCGCCCTCCTACTCTAAGGTCTGCAAGTCTGAACCATACTCCTTTCTATGTCTCTGGTTCTATTTTGTTCATCAGCCCATCTTGTTCATTATATTCCAAAAATAAGTGAGATCATGTGGTATTTGTCTTTCCCTGATTGCCTTATTTTGATTAGCATAATATTCTCAAGGTCCCTCCATGTTCTCTTAAAGGATAAGCGATCTTTCTTTCTTATAGCTGCATACTATTTCGTTGTGTGTATGTACCACTGCTTTTTTATTCACTCATCTATTAATGGACACCTGGGCTGTTTCCAGATCTTAGCTATTGTAAATAGTGCTGCTCTGAACATAGGGGTACATATATTCTTTCTGATTGGTGTTTCAGGCTTCCTAGGATATCTTCCTAGAAGTGGGATCACTGGGCCAAATGGCAATTTAATTCTTATTTTTTGGAGGAAACACCATATTGTTTTCCATAGTGGCTGCACCAGTCTGCATTCCCACCAGCAGTGTACTAAAGTCCCCTTTTCTCCACATCCTCACCAGCACTTGTTGTTTGATGATTTGTTGATGGCGGCCATTCTGGCAGGTGTGAGGTGATACCTCATAGTTGTTTTAATTTGCATCTCTCTCATGATTAGTGGCATTGAGCATTTCTTCATATGTCTCTTGGCCATTTATATGTCCTTTCTGGAGAGGTGTTTATTTAGGTCCTCTGCCCATTTTTCAATTGGATTCTTTGTCTTTTTTTTTGTTGAGTTGTATGAGCACTCCCTATATTTTGGAAATTAAGCCCTTATCTGATGCATCATTGGCAATTATGTCTCTCATACAGTGGGTTGTCTTTCCATCATGATGGTTGTTTCTTTTGCTGTGCAGAAGCTTTTTAGTCTGATGTAGTCCCATGTGTTCATTTTTTTTCTTTGTTTCTGTTTCCTTAGGTGTTGTATAGGTGAAAATTCTGCTGCATATGATGTCTGAGATTTTGTTGCCTGCATTTTCTTCTAGAATTTTAATGAATTCACGAGTTACATTTAAGTCTTTTATCCATTTTGAGTTCATTCTTGTGTATAGTGTAAATTGGTGGTTTAGTTTCATTTTTTTTGCAAGTAGCTGTCCAATTTTCCCAACACCATTTATTGAAGACACTATCTTGACTCCACTGTATACTCTTGCCACCTTTGTCAAATATTAATTGAGCATATTGTCTTGGGTCAATTTCTGGGTTCTCTATTCTGTTCCATTGATCAATCTGCCTGTTCTTGTACCAGTACCAGGCTGTTGTGATTACACTGGCTTTATAGTATAATCTGAAATGTGGTAATGTGATCCCTCCTACTTTGTTCTACTTTTTCAAGATTGCTGTGGCTATTTGGGGTCTTTTTTTGTTTCATATGAACTTCTGGAGTGTTTGTTCTAGTTCTGTGAAGTATGTCATTGGTCTTTTTATGGGGATTG